CCAGGGGTGGGCAGGAGAGGCAGGCAACCGGAAATCAGGGAGTGAACTGAGTTAGCTAGCCAAGGTAACTGGGGACAAGGAACTAGAGGGGTGGGGAGACTGGGATGGAGTGTAAGGAGAGGTAATATTAGGATTTACCAGGCAAGAAAACTGGGACTGCCTAGGTGAGAAGAGAATGGGATGAGGAGCCAGTGGTGAGATAGAAACAGGGACAGGTTGGAGGGAATGGGTCAGAACAGGTCAAACTTAGGGTAAAATGGCAGAATAGTCTATGCCCACTAGAGAACTCCCCGAAGCCTAGAATCAAGTCCACGATTCCTGAGTCACCATTCCTCTGCTGGCAGCAAATATCCACCACTCACTAGCAGTGTCTTCTCCTTTAGTGCTGGTTCACATAGAGGATAAGATCATCTATTTCTGCTATCCATTACTCTGTTAGTTCAAGTGGCAGAAATCTGTCATGGATCTAAAGGTTCCTACCCTGCTGGTGAACCATGTAGAGGGTCAATATGATGCCACATGACAATCAGTCTTTCCCAATTTTCTTTTTTAATAAGATCGGAAATTACACACAAACTATGTTAAAAGAACATTAAGGGTGTAAAGTCAAGCACTCAAAATTTAAGAAATAAAAAACAGTATGTGATAATCAGTCTGGATCATAATACATATGGGCCAAATTAAGATTATGTATGCAATCTCAATTCTGAGATTTCCTAACTTTTGAGTGCTTGACTTTGCAACCTTAATAATGTTCATGTAGGGTTTGTTTTTTGTGTAATATATAGATCTGCAGCTTCTTAAAGGCAAAACTTCTGTTTGTGTTTTATTTGGGGCTGTAGTTCACTAGCTCTAGAAATAAGCATTTATTCTCCATGACTATTCTATTGTTTTTTTGGTTAAGGCGTTATGAAGGCTTTGGGTATGGATTCTCGAAGTAGTAGGTTTTGAGCACAAGCTTCATTATTGGTACCAGAGGTACTATCTTTAAGCTAAATGTTGTAGCAGTGTTAGTCCCATGATATTAAACAAGGTGGTTGAGGTAATATATTCTACTGGACCAACTTCTTACTGAGAGACAAGTTTTTGAGCTACACAGACCTGAAGAAGAGCTCTGTGTAGCTCAAAAGCTTGTGTCTCACCAACAAAAGTTGGTCCAATAGAATATATTATCTCATCCACCTTGTCTCTGCAATATCTTTAAGAGAACTTATCTGCTCACAATGCTTTTCATATGTTGAAAACTTTAGCACGATCTAGTTAATCACAAATGAGCATTTTAAAATGTCTTTATGTCCTAGATTTATGTTAGAGAAACTAATATTTCTACTGAAAGAATACAAACTCAAGTTTAAAGTGATGTGTCCGTACATAACCGGGATATGACAAAACAATGGCCAAATACTGGAATACAAAATGCAGCTACCTCAACAGACTGATCTGAAACCTGTTAATAGGATCAGCAGCACACAAAGGAAACTGAACAGCGCAAGCTTGAAAAATGAGCAACTCTGAATGTCAGACATGACAGAATGACTTCAAACCATAAATGGATTACAAACAGAAGAAAACATCCACTTTTCTTATTTCTGAAAAAAGTGAATGCATCTCATTGAAACAAGCTACAGAATGTTAACAGGAAACATCAACAAGGCCTGCTAAAACAAGGTCACTACTTAAGAAGTATTTTAATACAGCCAAATGGAAAGTTGCACATCTAGAAACAAAGAATGCAAGCCATACCTACAGAATAGGGGACTGTATCTTGGAAAGCGAAGAGATTGAGAAGAATTTAGGGGTGATAAAGGACAAGCAACTTAACATCAGCTTTTAATGTTATACTGTGGCAAAAGTGATCGTTGGATGCATAAACAGGAGTAATGAGTAGGGAAGTGATTGACTGTATATTGTTAAAGATTCTAGAACACTGCACATAGTTCTGGTGTCCATTTTTTTAAGAAGATGTTGAAAAATTAGAGAGGGTGCAGAGCCACAAAGATAGTCTGAAGGCTGGAGAAAATGCCTTAATATGAGGCTTAGAGAGCTCAATCTATTTATCTTATCAAAAAGAAATTGAAAGGGGACTTGATTATGTTGTCTAGACCTTCTCTGGGAGAAAACACCAGGTACCGAACTCTTTACTCTAATGGAGAAAAGCAAACAAGAACAATGGCTGGAAGTTAAAGCCAGACAAATTCAAATTAGATATAAGGCACAAGTTTAAGACCGTGTTTAACTACTGGAACAACCTACCAAGGGAGGGTGAATTCTTCATCTCCTAAAGTCTTCTAATTAAGACCAGATGCCTTTCAGCAAGAAGGTCTGCTTTAGTCTAACAAGTTATTGGGCTCAATATAGAGATAATGGTGAAACTCTACAGCCTTGTTATACAGGAGGCTAGACTAACTAGTTCAACTGCACAACTCCTGAACGCATGCACCAGTGCAGCAGACCTGCTCTACAAAATGGCATTCACCACACAGCTGGACCTCACATGCACTGTATGTGTGAGGTCACACTGCAAGAGGATGCTATTTTGTTTCTGTGCAGCCCACAGAGGTGTTGTGCAACTATGCATGCGACTCACGTCGCTGAACCATATGATCCAAAGGCCCCTTCCGGTCTTAAAATCTAGGATTTAAAAAAAAGTGGATAAAAGTGTAGTTCACCTTTTTTAATAAAATGTTTGTTAGTACATATGAAGAGTACGTGAGAAGAGATTGACTAAAACACAGCTATTTTCTTGTTATCTTACTTCAGAGATAAGCAATTCATCTGTAATAATTTTACTTATTATGCATTTCTAAGGCACTTATCACACAGTATCTAGGCACAATGTGATAAAAAAGATGATTGCTCTATCTTTCAATCATTTATGTGCCTACTGTGCTTGAGGAAAAGTATTCATGGTAAAGGAAGCTTCATAAAGGCTCTGTTAACTTTATTTGTACACAGCAGCCTATAAAGCAGACATCAGTGTCGCAAAGAAAATGAACAGATGCTGTATCGCTTTCTTGTACAGACAGCAAGACAAGAGTGCAGTAAAGGAATAGGTTGGGATTTTAAAAAAGTTTGGATCATGTAAGTACAGCTAAGGGGAAAGGAAAAAAGATACAGTAGTTGAGGGATCAAAGGGAGAGAAAAGCTTGGCCACAATAAGCTAAAGAGAAACGTTTTGAAGGCAACATTTCAGAGGAAACGACTGGGGCAATTTGGGAAGTCTCTCTGTACAACTAGGAAGTCTGACTGATATTATGAAGTTGGTGCTACAAAATTACAGCATCACTCAATGCCTTTAAGTAAATATGGAATCTACTATGGGCTGGCAGGGCTGTGTTACATAGCTGGCAGCTCAGGGACAATGACAACTTATTAGAATGTAATGGTCACCTATCCAGGTGGAAATGCCTGAAGCCAGAGGACATTTAAGCCAGAAGAGATTTCTCCCAATTTGTTTGCAGGGGTAATGGAAATGGAGAAGGTGGAAAGTTACCAGCAGCGTGACACAGAAAGAAGTAACAAAGGAGGGGTTTAAAAAAAAAAAAAAAAGGACTCACAGGGGAAAAGAAAGCGCAAAGAAAGGGGCAAGAGGAAGAGGACAGACTGGCCAAGGCCAGAGAAGAGGAGCTGGGGGAAGAAGACTCCACATTTCAGAACACAAGCCTGGACAGCTCCCAGAGAATCTTCACCCCATCCCAAATTATACTTTGGAGTGTTGAGGAAACAGGCAGGGAAATATACAAAGGGTTTTGTTTTTTAAAAACTAATCCATGTATGTCGTGCAATTAAATAAAGAGCAATGGTTTTAGAATCCTGTGCAAAGTATCTGAATTTCACGCATTATGCCTACCACCCCACAGTCCATGAAGTAGTAGACTGTGGATTCACACCACCACCTGGCTGGAGTTCTGGGAGAGTTTTTAAGCCGGGCAGCGCAGGAGGAAAGTTTGAGGACTTAGCAATGGTTCCAGGGACTGGGCAGTAGGGCATGTGGTCACTGCTCTCAGAAGGGGCATGCTAGACGGAGGGTTTGCACTCGAGAGACCGTGTCTAGAGACTGCTAGACAGCAGCAGTGCCTGGACTCTGTTCTGACTCTAGAGGCTTAGAACACCAGGGGATTCGGGGGTTGATTCCCTCAAATCAATCTGGTGAGTGGGCAAGAGGAAGCTCTCGACTGAAGTTGTTACAGCAACTCAGAGGGAAGAGAGAAGTCCCAGTTAAGACAGCAGTTGACATTCAGCTGTGAGAAGTTGTAAGGAGGACAATTAAAACTGGCACAGCAGAGTTAAGACAGAAGAGTTGTAGGTGAGACATGGGGTCAGATTTTTGATAGCAGAAAAGTACCTAAAGGGTACATAATTGTCACTGATTATCCCTAGAGCCAGCAAGTCATCAGGCCATGGAACAATATAAGCCCAGAAGTATAGATTGGAAGTGAGGGGGTTGAAATAGAAGCTTCAGAAAGCACCCTCAGATGCTCTTGCTATGGCCTGTAGTAAGACTATTATAGTTAAAGTCAAACAATATATAGCTGAGACAATTGAAATGTGGGTTTAGGACAATGCCTACACTTCTGGCCCTGGCAGTACAATTGGGCAAAACAAGAAAGGTGACTGGAATTAAACGATGAGAATTTTTTTTTTAAATCTAAAAGGAGGTTTTCAATTTTTGAAACATTCATTGGTAATTTACATTTACATTACATTGACAAATTCAGCAAAGGCAAACATGCAAGTTTGAAGCCAAGAGGAAATGCATGGCTCTCTGTCACTTGCATGGAAGCAATAATTAACATCCCAGAAATATATTTATTTGACAGAAAGCAAGGTCTTTATTTCTAAAAGGAAATATTCAACAGTACAGCATTACCCAACATTAGAGTAGCATGGCCTTGTGCTTAGATAAGAAGGAAAAGGGAGCAAATAAAAGGGATAATGCTAAATAAGGATGGGGCCAGTACTATGTTGCACATTTAGCATTTGCAAGTGTTATTTGTTACCTGGATTTCCAGTTCAGCAATATGCTGCTGGAGTTCTGCCACAGCTGCTATGCTGTCTGCTTCACGGAGTCTTACTGCCATCACTTCTTCCTTGTTCTGAAAAAGAGGTGAATAGGGCTAAGCTGTAAAATCAAGAGAACTTTCTCTGATATTTTGGGTTTCTGAGGGGGAGGCTCCCTGAGCCAGGGATTCAGCTTGAGCCTGAACATCTACATAGAATTTTACAATCCTACAGCCTGAGCCCAAGTCAGCTGACATGGGCCAGCCATGGATGTTCAATTGTAGCATAGATATACCCTAATTTATTCCTAGCAGATGAAACTCGAGATGGGGCTCTTCCTCCCTGTCCCCCTTCCTCCCTTCCCCATTCCTCTATTTTGTTCTTTGTCTTCCCTTTATTTGGGGGATGGGGGAGAGAGAGGAGAAGAAATATAACTAAAAGTGTTATTTAAGATTTTAATACCCAGGAAAAGGACTAGATTAAGAGTACAAGTGAAGTATTCTCTTCATCCACAGAAGTGATATAGCATGGACAGTAACACTGCAAACCAGTGTACCTCAACAGTTGGCATGTAAAGCACACCCCTAGCTGTCAAAGGCTTAGTCTCCATAGTAATTCAAACATTGGCCTCCCAGTGCTAACAAGGTATCTATCACAGGAGTCCATGCCCTCTCAACTGACTCGTTTCACATAAGGCAACTGGTAATGTTACCATCAAACTGGATTATCTGTAACAGTGACAAACCACTATAACTAAAGTCCTTTTAATCAAGCACCTGAGCCATATATCCTAGCAGTGGTTTAAGTGTATGCCATTCTACAATGCAGATGTTTGACATTCAAGTTAAAAAAAAAATCAAATTTAAATAATCTTTTAGTTAAACATTGTGGGGAATGGAAGTTAGTTCAGACCACAAAGGTCCTATAAGATTCGTATTGTGTGAAATATCTTTAGAAGTCTACAGAATAAATTTCCCTAAATTTGGAGATTGTCACACTTCCATTAGAGTTTGATGCTTGATTTTTTTCAGCTATTTGAAATCTGATAACTGTGCTATAGTTATCAGAACTTGGATAGATAACAGTATTTCTGATGTAAAGGCAGTACCAAAAATCAGACCCATTTAGATTTTGAACTGTATTTTTTTTATTCTGGAACAGTCGTTACAGTAATTTTAAAGTTGGCCTTTTATTGGATCTTGTAAACAAAGAACATCAGTTGTTTCCCATCACTGCACTATTAGAGCACGTTGTGGACATGATTTTTCCTTCTGTTACTTGACTATCACTTCTACAGCCATCAATTAAATTAAATTTCAGACTTAGTTATTAGAAGATTACAAAGACTAAAAAAAAGAGCACTCCCTCTTTGATATTGTGAAGTGTTTTTTTCTAAATTCTGACTTTCACAATAACTGTGGACCTGTTCTACTACATTAGTTACCTGTTATTTTTCAGAGTGATGAAAACCGTAGAGTCAACAAATGTAATGCTACTGACTCAGACCTCATATCTCATTCAGGCTGAGGGCCATATTCTGCCCTCAGTTCCACCCATGCAGGGCTGCTGGGTTACTTTACCTTAAAGCAGAGTTTAGCCCTAACAGTATAGTAACTGGATTCCTTTTAATCTGACTGTGCTGATTACAAACAATTCAAGATGACATCATACAGCTGGTGAATTGTTGATCAGATACAACAAGAGGAACACACTGACAGACACTTCAAATTCTTGATAAAGTTTGAAATGTTCACAACAAGTCGATGTATCTGCTCTCAGTTAAGTTGAGAAGTATGGTCAACTTATTCAAAATTAGACTAATACACTGATGGTACATAGCAGGTGATTTTACAGTTTCATGACAAATAACTGAGGAATGAACAGTGGACCAGCTAACGTCTCAGAACCAGAAGATGCAGCATCTTTCACTTCAGCAGTGGGAAGTGTGCCAATAAAAAAAACCCTAGCTCCCTTTATTGAGCAGCCTCTTCTAGTCAGATGCTGCACAGATCTGTGAACTTTGCTCAACTGGACTTATTCTTGGAGAAATTCAAGGAATTAAACTGCAAAGCAGTAGCATCCAACAAGGAAATGATAACACTGCAAAGGAACTATTCTCCCCCTCCCCAAGCAGGAGACTGGCAATCAGGACAGGAGTCTAAGACCTTTTTTTTTTTTTTTTTTGGGGGGGGGGGGGGGGGGGGGGGGGGTCAAGGTTTTTCAAGAAAAATTATTCTGACTGCATGACTTTGTCTATACTTTAAAGTCATTTGCTCAGATATACAATTCTCTTAATTAGTCCTAATATTACACATTTCTGACGCAGTAAGTTTTAGATGAGAGGATACGATCCCAGAGAGGAAGGGAGGCCTAATTAGGTGGCTCTTAAAACACTGGATGGACGAACATGAAGGAAGAGATCAACCCTATTAGGTTTGGAATATTAGTGAATAGTTGCCCACTGGACTATTGTTGCCCACTGGACACCGTATTTTTGAACATCCATAGCATGTTAAATTTTCTGGCTTTCAAGAGGGTTGTGCTGAAGTGGCCCAAATATGAAAATCATTTCAGTAGGACTCCAACCAATTTCAAAACATCTATTGTCAAATTAACTTGCATTTGGGGAATGAAGATCTGTGTCACCATTTCAGGCAAGAGACTTGAGGACTTCATGTAGCCTCTACTGTTCCTCCCCTCTGGCCCTGGGGCCCCCACATGTCCTCTTAAAATACCTAGTTTTCAGTGATAGGTATAATTAACATTGCTATGGCCATCATTCCCAAACACTGCAACAGTTCTTATACCTTCTGGTTCCTTACATTGACATATTTTCTTTGGTTCAAAGCATTTCTGCTTGAACCATGTCTAGCAGGTCCCATCTATACTTTTAGTTGATATAAAATGAAAATATTTAAAACTAGAGAAACTAGTGCCCCTGATACTGCAATGGAAAACCTCTCATTTTATTCCAAAGAGGTTGTATTGATTGATGACAGTCATGCTAGTAAGGAAACTCCCAGATTTAGATTGTATACATACTTGAGGTTTTTCTGGTTACCCATGCAGATATTCTAATTTTAAGATCTCTTTACTTGGCTGAAAGAGTCACCATACATGCCTGTCCCTCAGGAAATTAAAGAACACAGTTTATGTACATGGGAGACCCATTCAGTTCTCAGCTAGAAGAATGAAGATTGAGGCTTTGAGGATGTGTTCGGTTGTTATTGGAGGGGGAAATGGGTGGGAGAGGAGAATCTGAGATCTCTCCACAAAAGGTAATGCTAACATGAAAAAAATATATTGCTTGGGGGGACTTGCAAAAGTTTCACCTTCTCTGTGTGCATTAAGTTTTGCAAGTGAACAGAAAACATACCAGAAAATGTAATAAGCTAAGTGCTATTATAAAACTGGTTCCAATAGGTTTTCTACTACAAAATGCTACTTTAAATAAGTGCTTGTATTCTGGTAGCAACCACCCAGGCTTTAGCTTGCAGTCTAAAACAAACATACACTGTGCGAAGAGGGATGCAATCAAGATTATATAAACAGCACATGAGGCACATTTTAAAAAATAACTACACTCAACCACCCTTCAAACTTATGCATTATTAGTTGACTAACTTTTTGCAAATATCATGGAAACAGTGGGTCTTGGAGGAATGCAAGAAGGCAATATTTGCCCTTAAAGACCAGTTCAGGAAGGGCATTCCAAGCAGAAGGTTGCGTGAAAAAAGCAAGAAGAGCTGGAGATGCAAACATAGGGGAATCAAGGATAGCCTTGTTGGCAGAGCAGGAGACAAGAGGGACAGAATTGTCTTAAGGACTGTACTTGAAGCTTAACAAAATGCTGTGGAAGAGGGGGAGCAAATGGAGGCACTCAAGAAGGTGTGAGAGAGATGTGTTTAGAATAAAAAGACAAGGAAGATTCTAGCAGTTTTGTTGTGAATAGCCTAGGGATGAATGATGTGGTTGTCAGGGAGGTCACAGGAGTCACTGTAGTAATATGGGAGATGAGAAACTGAACAAAAGGTTTACCTGATCAGCTAAGAGGGGGAGGAACACTCAAAAGTGTTATAGAAAAATCTGGATGTGGCCTGGATACATGGGATAAGGCAGAAGGAGTCAAATATAAACATCTAGGTTTATGGACAGTAGGAAAGATGATGGTATTGTCAACAGTAACAAAAAGGATAAGGGGAGGAGGCTTGGAAAGTAAAGATAGGGAGTTCAGTTTTGCCCATGTTGTGTTTAAATTGCAGTGACACATCCAAGATGTCAGAAAGACACGCTGAGATGTGGGATAGGTTGGAAGGAGCTGATTAAGAGTGGAAAAGATAACTCTCAAACCTATCCACATACACATGGTAGCTGAAGTCATACAAGAAGCCCAAAAAAATGTTAAAGGAGAAGTTGGTCAAGTGAAGAGCTTGTGTGACTGCCCACAAAATAGGAGGATCCACTGAGATACAATGAAAGAATGATCAGAGGGTAGAAGAGCCAGGAGAGGACACAAATACCCAAGGAAGGACAAGATGTCAAGAAAGAGCAAGTGACCAGTTTTATAAGCAAGTGAAGGAGGATTAGGTAAAGAGCCAGAAATTCTGGCCATGAAAGGAGTCAGAGATCCTGGTGAGATTAATTTCAGTGGAATGAAGGGGCCAAGTGGAGCTAGAAAAGAGGAATTGTAGGCAACAGTGGCAAATAGTGCCTTTGAGTTTAGAGATTAAAGGATGGGAGAGGAAGTAGTTGGAAAGGCAGGTGGAATAAAGGGACTGCTTCTTGAGGATGGAGAGACCACAGCATGCTTTTATTGAGAGGTAGAAGCAAGACGCAAGTCAGGGAAGAGTGGGTGTGGGGACAACAGGAGGACAGCAGGCATGACAGATTATATCAGTGACAGGATTTTGGGGAAGGGGAAAGTGGAGGGAAAATTAGGACAGTCCTACCTAAGCAAGTTAATCACAATTGTCTATTGTCTATTAATTAATTGTCACAATTGTCTATTAATACAATTTACAAATAAAAAATGTATATTAATGCCATTATGCAGGATTCTGTACAAAAAATTAGATATGGGGCCTGTTCCAAGCTTACATTCAAAGTCACGGTTCAGATAATGTGCCAGAATGCCAAATAATCTCCATTTGGCGCAAATAACTTGATTCTAACTTCATATTAACATTATCCTACAGATCTCAGAGCATCACAAATGTGCATTTGTGAAGCATGTTGTGATATAAGCCTCATACACCCCTCAGGGACTAATGATTATGATCCAAAATTCAGGGTCTAGCCAGGATCATAGTTAGCATTTCCACCTCATTCACTGGCCACAAGGATTACACTTGACAAACACACAGTCCCTGCTTGCACTGAATATCCACTAGCCTCTCGTCCCAACCCATTTTAGAGCAAGGTTTTCCATGCCAATTATCCAGATGAGGATGGATACAAACTTAATCTAGAATCTGGATTAGAGGATACTCAAAGTGCTCTCTTACTTTATGAAAAGGATGAGGATACCCCACTTCTTTGCAATATTTAATAAGGATTTGATGTGATTATTAGTATTAAACCCTATGAAACAAGAATTTACAAGTGGGGAAGTGTCATTACTTAGCCCTGGTCTACACTAGGACTAGGTCGAATTTAGCAGCGTTAAATCGATGTAAACCTGCACCCGTCCACACGATGAAGCCCTTTATTTCGACTTAAAGGGCTCTTAAAATCGATTTCCTTACTCCACCCCTGACAAGTGGATTAGCGCTTAAATCGGCCTTGCCGGCTCGAATTTGGGGTACTGTGGACACAATTCGACGGTATTGGCCTCCGGGAGCTATCCCAGAGTGCTCCATTGTGACTGCTCTGGACAGCACTCTCAACTCAGATACATGATTGTTTGCTGTTGCTCTGATGCAGGGAGGGGCAACTGACAACACGGCTTACAGGGTTGGCTTACAGGGAGTTAAAATCAACAAAGGGGGTGGCTTTACATCAAGGAGTATTTCAGGCAGGACTTCATGGAGGGTTCCAATAAGAAATGGTGCACCTAAGTTATTGTTCTTATTGGAACAAGGAGGTTAGTCTGGCTTCTGATTGATACATGGCTAGATTTACCTCGCTGCACCTTCTCTGTGAGTGACTGCAGTGCTGACCTAGAGGAATGAGTCCCCTAGATGGGGAAGGGGGGGAAGCAAATGAGTACAAAACAAATCTGGTCTATTTCTTGTTTTGATACACTCCATCTATCTTTTACATCTTTGGCTGGCAGCAGACAGTGCAGAAGGACTGCATGCCATCCACATCTCATGGCTGCTCGGCAGAAGATGGTACAATAGGACTGCTAGCCATCCTCATCTATTGCCTGCCCGGCAGAAGATGATGCAATAGGACTGCTAGCAATCTGTATCACCTGCCTGCTCACCATAAGATGGTTCAATAGGACTGACTGCAGGACTAAAGAGAATGACCTGATCAAGTCACTCCAGATTTAGTCCCTGCGCCCATGTCTGTCCAGGCGCTCCTGATCGACCTCATACAGGCGACCAGGAGCACCTCAGACACGATGATGACGGCTACCAGTCCTATTGCACCGTCTGCTGCCACAAGGCAATGGGTTGCTGCTGCTGTGTAGCAATGCCGTACCGCGTCTGCCAGCACCCAGGAGACATACGGTGACAGTGAGCTGAGTGGGCTCCATGCTTGCCATGGTATGGCATCTGCACAGGTAACTCAGGAAAAAAGGCGCGAAACAATTGTCTGCCCTTGCTTTCACGGAGGGAGGGAGGGAACGGGGGCCTGACGATATGTACCCAGAACCACCCGCGACAATGTTTTAGCCCCATCAGGCATTAGGATCTCAACCCAGAATTCCAATGGGCAGCGGAGACTGCGGGAACTGTGGGATAGCTACCCACAGTGCAACGCTCCGGAAGTCGACTCTAGCCTCAGTACTGTGGAAGCACTCTGCCAAGTTAATGCACTTAGAGCATTTTCTGTGGGGACGCACACACTCGAATATATAAAACCGATTTCTAAAAAACCGACTTCTATAAATTCCACCTAATTTCGTAGTGTAGACATACCCTTATACACTAAGAAATGCCACCAATATATAAAACAGTTGTGAACATCTAGTAAGGAAATCAACATATGGAAAGCAGTAATTGATTCAGCATTAGAAATCAACTCTTATGTAGAATGAAGTGCTGATTCTAGTCAGAGGAACAGAGAGCTGACATTTAATATTCAGTGGGCAGATTCCTAAAAAACAACTTTCATTGGCTTGTCAAATTCCACTGCACATTAATACCCAATTACCTGTACACTTATTTTAGGTTGCATTGGAAAAAAGGAGGCTAGCAACAGTACAATGTAAAGAGCAGGAAAAACGAAAATCCTTTCTAAAGAGATATTGAGTGTCCTAGGGGAGGAGGACTAGAGTATATCTAAGAGAAATGGTAAACACCTTAAATTAAAATCAAATGAAACTGAATAAAAAAACTCTTCACTGGCAAAATGAAGTTAATTAGGAGACTGGTTAAGAGACAGAGGTGCTGAATACATACTACACTTCGTAGTTTAGGGTGATTAAAGTTAGGTCAGCATAGTTTAGTGTACAGAAATCTAGTCAATTAAACTGTATTACCCGGAAGAGAACACTTTGAAACACTCACAAATTTTGTTATTTACAGGTTTGAGAGATATTGTAAGAAAAACTATACATATTAATAAGGATGTAATTTCATCTCTGGGATTTAGTGACAGTGATAAACCACTCAAGCTTCACTCTTGGTTTATACTGTCATCGGAACCCTTTGATGGAATTACAGCCTTACAAACACTTGGGTGCATGTTATTTCTTACTATATGCATACATTTTGAATAAGAGTGTCATTTGAGAAATTTTTTCCTTGAAATATATTTTTTTCAACTTTGCCCTGTATAATGAATTTGGAAACATCTGGAACTTAAGTGTAAACATAAGCCATTTACTTTTGCTAAGGCAAAACTCATATGTTCATGGACACATTTGGAAGCTGATGCAGTATATGAATGCAACAGTGTACAGCTGAAGGTTTAAGACTGTAGTTTGATTATTGATGTGCCGCTCATGCTAGTCTTCTGGATTATACTAAAAACTGACACAGAAGAGATATTGTATATATTCAATATTTTAGTTTACTTTACTAAAGGAATCCTACCACGCATGTGTACTGAAAATTAAGTACAGTAAAGACATGCTTTTAACTTTTGTTTTCAGCTTCTGATATGGAAAAGAATTTTACACACTTGAGCTGGAACAACTTTTGGTTTAAATAGTGTCACTTTTAGGGGCAATGATAATTTTGAAGTATGGTTTTACAAGGAAGTTCCTAAAAGCCTTGCAAGACTCCATGTTTATGGTGTCTGATTGTCCAAATTTGGTATAGCAGTTTAGAAAGAAAAAATTGTGATTTTTTAAACTAAAAAGTGCAAACTGGACCTGGGATTTCAAAGTCAAGCCAGACTCTTTCATTCTTGTGGATTGACCACAATGAAGAGGTCTGTTCTACCCAGCCTTCTTGGACACAGATTGACCAATTGTAGACACTCTACAGAAAGATAGGCTGCCACTGGACAGTGGGTACCGTCACACCCTACCCTGGGGACATGTCCCCTTCCACTCTAATTCTACCCTTGTGACCCCTCACACAGCTATATTGATTCTGCTAACCAGAATTAAAGTACTATAAAGTACTTTGTCATGAATGCAATCAGTTATGTCTGAGTAAACCATGTTCAGAGTCTGCTGTGTAAGTCTGTGCCTTTTATACAGTCACTTACTTTAAAGTGTAGTTCTACTCAAAAGTTAACTTCCACAGGACCACAAATTAGAGGAGAAGGTTGTCATCCCTCCTTTTGGTGGGTGGTAAATCCAAGATGATGTTTCTAATTCACTAGAAAATGTAAGGTTTTGCTTTTGTGAGGTTTGTTGTCTATATAAAGCTGAAAATATGGATCTGGTTGTCACAAATAAGAAAGAAGAATGTGAATATATACTTTGTACATGAATGGTGTGCTCATGATGCTGGTTACCTTGCACTCAGTCTCAGCTTGTTTACGTTTTGCTTCACTCAGCTGAGCAAGAAGTCCTTTGTTCTGCGCAGAAAGATATTGCACCTTTCCTTGTAGATTGCTGACCTCTTGCTCCGCCCTCCGTAAATGGTTACTGTTGATGTGGTTCTGACATTTATAAAAAAAAAGTGTGTCAGAAGAGGTCTTATCACACCTACCTAAATAGACAAGGAAAGCACTAACATTTCTTCCAATAGATATTTTATAAACAGGATTTACAAGTCAGTTTTATTTACAAATTCAGTAAATCAAAAGGTTATTTTATTGAGCAAGAAGCATTCCAAGATTTGTTGCAATTAAAAATTGCTCATCTTAATGTTTATTTTGAATGAAAATATGTTTTGATAAAGTATACTCAGATACCAGGTGGTCTAGTGCAACGTTTCTCAAATGCAGACATCAGGGGGTTTTCATGTAGCCACGACAGTCATCTGGGCAGTGATTGGGGCGGGGGAGGATCAGCCTCTCCCACTCCTTCCTTGTTGCTCCTGGATGTGCAGCACCCCACACCGCCTCTGGAGAGAGAGGTGGGGCACAATGCTGCAGCAGCAAGGTGAGTTCTTGACCCACCTTGAGGGGAGGGGGTTTCGGCGTCAGGCTCCAGCAGGGAGACTTCAGGAGCCTGGCCGTGCAGCCCTGGGCTCCCACCGCGGGGCAGTGGGTACTGACCACCCCGGCTCTGGCCACGCAGCCCTGACCTCGAGCTGAGGGACTTCGCCTCCACCCTCTGGTTCCAGCTGCGCGGCAGCAGGCGCTGGCCCCCAGCTCCAGTCTCAAGCTCGGGCCACGCAGTGGCAGGTGCCAACCCGCAGCTCTGGCTGCGCTGATCCATGCCCCAGCTGCACAGCAGCAGGTGCCAACCCACAGCTTTGTTCCCGAGATCTGGCCACGTGGTGGTGCGAGCTGGCCCCAGGTGCTGATCCCTGGTCCTGGCCGTGCAGCAGCAGGTGCGGGCTCCTGGCTCCACCCATGCAGTCCTGGGCTCTGGCCTTGTGGTGACAGGCACTGGTCCCCAGGCGCTGACCTACAGCTCTGGCTGCGCAGCAGCGGGCACCAATCCCTGGCTCCGGCTATGCAGTTCCTGTCCCCAGCTCTGGGCTCTGGCCATGGGCACTGAGCCCCGGCCACATAGCAGACACCAGGTCATGGCTCTGACCACTTGACAGTTGAACTCACCCATCCCTATCGCCCCTGCTGTCTCCCACAGCACTGCATCCATTGCCCCCCCCCCACCCGAGCCCCCCCACACTGCCCAGCATCCATCCTACCATCGCATCTGGCCCCTGCCACCTCCCCCTGAAGCCCCACCACATACAGGGCTTAATGGGTCCTGGGGCTTGCTGAGAAAAGTGATATTAACAAACATGTAAGTATCACTTTTCACAGCAGACTTACTAGCTATCTGTGAAAAGCGATACTTGTATGTTTGTTAAAAATCACGTCACTTTTCATAGCTTCCCAGGTAGCTACTCAGTGTGCTGTGATATGAACAAATTTACAAATATCACTCCCAAAGAGGAGGCAGCATTATTTGTATTGAGTCTGCCAAAAAACCTTACAAATATAAATTACAATGATTTGGATGTGTATCTGTGCATATTTAATTGTTTTTCCCTAAAGTTAATTAACTATTTTAGGAAAAAGTATCAGTGTGGCCACCAGTGAGAGTTGGTGGCCGCACTTTGAGGCCACCAAAAAATTTGTTGAGAGAACACCTGGTCTAGTGTATACAGAACATTAAGATTAGTAACTCAAGTATGTTCAACACTGAAAGGCAAATTATATTTTTGCCTAGAAAGACTATATATGTTTATATACAAAATGATATATGAACCAAATTATTGTTCAAATGGAAGATAACAGCATACGTCTATATACAAGCACTAAGGAAATACACTGAAGTGAGGTTATTTATGATTGTTAGTACATGGCATATGATAAAACAGGATAACTATACCCCCCTGCTGACTGAAATAAAAAATGCATTAAATGAAAGTAATTTCTACAATGCCAAGTTAGCAACCCTAATGAAAAAGGTTTAATTAACTTATCTGAGATATTTTATGAAGCTTTTTACTCCATCAGTGGCATGTAACAAATTCTAACTGGTGACTCTGGGCCAAATACTGGGTGCAGAGTCAGTTCTTTACACCACACCACCATGTGTCCCAACTCCTGCTTCCTGGGACAGCAGGGAATGGTACTGGTAGTGCTGAGATGCATTCAGAATGTAAAATGTACCAGGTTTCTCCCTGTGTCAGTTATGTTTGAGACTTTTTCCATGAGAGGATTCCCAAAAGTCGATTGCAAAGCCTTCACTCCTCACCTCCTTTCAAGTAACAGAAGTTCAATACTATGCTATAGTGTCAACAGAAATTTCAGGAATAAAAGTGTTTGGTGAAGTGCACATAATACAGGTTTTTTTTGGTCAAGTGATGCTCCCTCATTCCTTGGTTATAGCAGAATTTAAATAGGTAAACATGTTACACTTCTCTCTTCACAAACACCCCAGCCACATGGAATTTATCACAGCTAAAGAGGCAAAATGTTGGTGCAAACTCTTTCTTAAGTATTGGCAGCACACAGCTGATCTGCAAGGATCCTCTGGCCAATTCAGGAGCCAGATTCATGGGTTATGAAAGAAGGTCACCATCAGGCAAAACCACATAGGCAACTCCCAAGGGGAAGGAAAGGAGCAGATAGTATTTCTGTCAGATAAATTTTGCCTATTAAATTTAATGGATTTAAAAATACACACTTATTGTACTAAACTAGGACTGTAAAACAATTGAGATTCATACATATCCACCCAGCATGGCGAGTTCATTACTTAACATCAAGGTGGGAAGTTTAGAAAGATGGAGCGTCATATATCATAAGTCTTGAAAAGAAGTGGAAGGGAATCAAACTGTTGTCTCATTCTTAACCAGTCGAAAAGCATAAGATTGTTGTACTGTCTCATTATGCTACTGTCACTGGTAAAGGCTATCCCTCGGCATCCCTAGGTGCCAGCATTCAGTTTGGATCACAATAATGCTTAACTCTCTGCCATCTCAGTACTAGTTTTCAATAACATACCTGTGTTTCCATCTCCATCATTCTTTGTTTCATCTCTTTTAGATCTGCCTGACTTTCTGCTTCTCTCAATCGGATTGTCATCAATTCATCTTGCAGTTCATTCACAGTGTTCTTTCTGGATGGATCTTTCCATCTTCCAGCAGTGCGAGCTAGATGACGCTAAAATCATTTATAATGGCTTTTTTTAGATTATGTATCTATAGCTATCTCTCAGGACTCTCCTAAAATACTATTACCTCATCTGCTGAAGAATGAAGTACTTCACAATCCACCACAACAATTTTAAAGAATCAAACAGAAGACTAACATAGCATTACAGTTCATCATAAAAACGACAAACAGCCACAAGGTTGCAGTTACAAAAACTGAGAGACAGTGGCTTGGGGACAGGAATTTTCAATTGGGGCAATCATGAAACTGAAAGTCTGTCCTTAAAACAAGAGAAGTTGGAGTATTTCAAAACACCTGAATAGCAGGATTTTGCTAAGCTCCAACCTCTACTTGCATTCACTGAAATAGGATCTTTACTTTATACTTGTATATCTCCCACCAGAAGGTTTTAATTTGTGGCATGAGGTAGAAAGCCCTCATCTACAACCTGGATCCATTTTACATTTTTAAAGTAAAAACACATTGTGGCTCCCTCATTTAATATGCCATTTCTGTACAGACCCAGTCACCAGTCTACTTGACCCCATTTTTCAGACTTACATATTCAATTATCCTGCTTTATTCAAAAATATTTAAGTTTATCAAGAGGTTTATATGCATACCTGCCAGTGTTCCTCCAAATCCTTGACTTGCTGTCTAAGTTCTTTTAGGCCCATCAAAGCTTCTGCTTCTCTCAACTTCACTGCAATCAGTTCTTCTTGGAGTCTGGCAACATTATTCTCATCAGGTAAAGAACTGTTCCTCTGTAGCAAAGAAGACCCTCTTAAACATTTAATTGAAGAAATGTACATTTAGGAAGTTTTGTTCCAAGATCACATGGAGTGATTACTATTCCTGATGCACCTTAAGATGAAATGAGAAGCTTTAAAGCTAAATCTGAGATTGTTGATAGAATAAAGTATGGATTTAAGTTAGACAAATACCTTTTAAGTATGAACTAAAATTACATACCAAGATTTCAGCCCACCTGGCCTCTAGACTTCTCATGCTGGAGTTGATGGCATCACTAAAAAGCAGGGCAGGGAGCCGGACTGCTTACACTGTCTTTGGTATTAATGATGCCAACAAAAATGCATGGAAAACAAGTCTGTAGGTTTTGAACTCTATTTTTGCTAGATAAAGTGAAGGTGGAATAGATTTTATATCATTAAGGCGACTTTTGCCATTCGATCCTACACATCTCTTATTAATGAATGAGATCTCAGACTAATTTTTGGAAAGTTTGTTCATCCTTGAAAAGGGCAGCAGAAAGTGATGTTGAAAAAAGATGGGTCAATGAAGATTCAGAATGGCAGTTGGGCAAGGAAATATGAAACAGGGACAGAAGCAGAACCCTACTCGGGGGGACGGGAGAGAAGAAAAAGAAAAACAGAAAGAAAGAGGAAAAAAAAGTCTGGGGGAAACTAACCAGAAAGAAGAATAGCTGGTTAGAACAGGTTGGAAAAAGTTAAAATACTAACATGGAATTACTGAAACAAATTAAAACAACCAAAAAGTAACAGGGAAATTTAAAAAAGAAATCCACCTGAACAGGAGCATCCCTGCTCATCACATTGCTAATGCGTGACGGATTTTAACTGCTGTTAAAAGTGTTGTTCCTCCCCCACCCTACCATTTTTTAGTGTTTAAGAAACACTGGTTGTTTTTTGTACCTTTGGGGATCATGATGATTTGGCTAACATAGTATTTATTTAAAACCTTAGGATTCAATAGTACCATCAGAATTAACAGATGGTGAACATCCACTTTAACAGCTTCAAAAAGGTCTCAGACGGAGTGCTGTAGCTATTTCCAAGTATGAACAGCTACAGTACATCCTTCTGGGCGTCTGAACTATTAGTGCATCAGTGTAGACCTTGGGACAATGAATATAATTTTTCCCAACCTACATGGTCTAAAGATAGTGGACTGCAGTAGTCAAAGCAACTTTTGGTTATTTTAGGTCCTCTCATCCACCCAAGTGTACATGCTCCAGTCCAGAGATGCTGTAACATTATAAAGTTATTTCCTAAAACTGGGTTTTATCTGTTATGGTTATAACTTTTTTCAGACGTACACTGATTTTTTAAATTTAAAGAATATCATGTCCCTGTTTGAAGAGGCTTAAATATAAGTAAATGCTCATCTGAATTTTGGGGTCAGATCACGAATTCTTATTTGAACATGTTAAATTTATCTGTTATTGCCTTAATGTTTTACGTATCTTACACCACCACACACCTGCCAAGCCTTCCAGAGAATTTGATTTACCTGTTATGAGTCAAGATGTTACTTTTAAAAACACTGTACTCCAGGTCTTACTTTGCCTAAAATATAAGTTTTGATCAAAGTCCTTTTAGTCTGGTGGGTCTGTCCACCAGCTTGGGGACAAAACAGGCAGCCACAGCCACCTCTGTTTTAGCCTTCTATACAGGCTTTTATTCTTTTGCCACACAAATGCACGATTTATAGAAAAAGTAACAAAAAGGGATAGTCCTGACCTGGCCTGATACTGCAAGATCCTTTACACCCCAGAAGCTCAAAAGGTCATGACCTCCCTTGGCCTCAGGGGGATCATAGGGCCTACCCCATCTGATACACCCTTCTGCTGCTGGTCAGGAAAATGTCTCTCTCCTGTTTCCCCACCCTTACGGAGCTGTAGCCTCACTTATATCTTCCTACTGGGAATCAGAGTCAATCATTATCTGCTGGTTTCCAACTTCTGCCAGGGCTTGCTGTTCCCTGGTTCAACAGACCCTTTGAGGGGCAGACTGCCATGCAGTACATCATGTCAGTTATATCATTTGGGATTATTCCATCTTATTCTGAAAATTTTTGATGTGCTATAGATTTTTGTTCTGCAAAGGAAGCTGGATGTTTTGACAGTTGATTGTTAGAGGACAATTGTAACTTTCAATATGCATGAAAATGAGGGAGATGGTTTTGGTTTTGACATCCAAGAGAGAGTTGAGGTTTTTGATACTGTGAAGGGGAGGCATCTTTTTCCTTCTCATTTTGGAAATTTTCCTGCCCAACGAGCACTTGAAAATTTGGGAAGGAGGAGAGCTTTAATTCCTCATTCCCCATAACAGGTACCTTTGTCAGCAGCTAGCTACACCCTGCATCAATATCTACCAGTAGTCCAAGCATTGGATGGACACTATCTTGAGGCTTGACAAAACTATCAACAATGAAATAAAATGTTTACACGGACCACCACCAGAATTCAATGTGATCACATGGAAATGAAATGAAAGGGAACTGTTCACACCTGAGCTATTGCTCCAAGATCTCTGAAGGCTCAAGCACACATCTTTGCTTTTGGTTACATTCATCACAGATTTTTGAAGGTTTTTTGCAACCATGAGCTAGAAACCAAACATGATAGATTTTTGCAGCACAATCATGCAGCTAAACTATGGGAACTAGTGTGGTTATTTACAGTGCTACTTTATACGGAGGATCATGATTTTGATTTACCTTTTCCATCTCTAGAACCTTATCTTGCATCTCCTTCAGAGCACAATGGGATTCCGCTTCACTTAGTCTGGCTTGGACCAACTCTTTTTCCAGCTGTAGCACAAAGTCTTCACTGTAGCGGGAACTGCACTTATGCTATAAAGTTTGCAAATATACATTATCAAGTGAGAATAGTAGTGGGCAAAAGTTTTCACACACTTAAATCTACAAATAAAGTGTGCTCCTGAAAGCTCAAGACTAACAGCAGTATGCCTGACAGTGCAGATAGGTGCAGTACATATTTCTGTCCAAAGCTCTCCTAATACGCTTCCATCCAGACTTGCAGACGCTGGTTGAGAGGCATAGCACTAGGATATCTGAAACACCCTAAACGCACCCAAACAGGACGACCACATTGTGAGCCCCTTAATTCCATTGGGTTACTCACATATTTAGTCCCAATGAAATCAACAGGAATATTTGTTACAGTAACTGATCACCAATGTGATTAAGGGGTTACATCTGGCACAGTGATTTTGTGCAGTGCAGTCATATTTCACTTCTTGCGACAGCCATGTTGTTAAAAAAAAAAAAGCATTTCTTTCAAGACTGCTTTACCAGCGTAACAGAAAACTTTGTTGCCACCACAAAGCCAGGAAGATTCACAATTGAATAGTCCTTGGCAGAACCTGCTTGATAGGCAATAACACTCCCCTACCTGAGAATTTCTTTTATGGCTCTGTCATTTGGGAAAGATGGTTGTTTAAGTCTTCAAGAAAGCAGTGGTCTCTAGAGTTTTTACATGCATAAGTGGTATGCAAGTCCAATTTAAGGGGCAACAGTTGAATGTAGTTTCTATCGTATAGTATTATTAACTGTAACATCTAGAATTAAGACCTTGTATATTTGTTTTACTCAATCATCAATTCAAAATCAGATCAGAACTATCAGCTGTAACACATGTAAACAAAAACACTTCCCATTTTGTCTATGTTTTTCTTGAACAATTTAGTTTCTGAATTAAATAGACTTTGCAAAGCTACTGAAGCATAATTTATATTATGGTAGCACACCACATGGGACTAGGCACTATACAGAAATAGGAAGACAACCCTTGCCTTGAGGACACAAACTATAAAGACAGACAAGCAGTACAAGGTGAGCATATATAACATACAAGGAAAGGGGCCATGGTGATGGTTAGCCATTGTTAGGTTTATTTTTTATGTATAAAATGTGCGAGTTGTATCATGGCCTTTAAATTCAGTGCCTACAATTACCCCAGAGGAAAACCTGTGGTAGTATAGTACAAGTTATATGCCTACAAGTCAACAGAATACAGTTCTATAGGGCGGAGTTGTATACAAACCTCAAGGACCAAATCCTACTCAGTTTACTCATGCAAGCAGTCCCATTTTTTCCAGTGTGCCTACTCATTTATTGCAAGCAAGTGTTGGCCCTAAACAACTGTGACAGAACAAATATGCACTGTAGCATTTAGGGAACATCACAAGGACTTTGCTGTGATTATCAGTTTTCCTTCATGACCACACTAGTTGAATTCATGTCACTTTTCCAAATGTACATAATTAAGCCCCATAGTGAGCTTACTTCAAAAAATATAGGTCCTGCATATCTTATCAATGATACTTAGAGAGCAAGTTTGACAGTCTGTTATAGGTTTCTTGTTCCAAGTTCTGTTTAAGATAGGACATGCAAACAAGAAAACATGGCATTGTTCCTTAAGGTTGAGATCCTCATTTTACTTTTTAACCAAGATTAATTTACAATAATTCATTTTTGATAGGAAAGTACAGTCTTGAAGAGCTACTTAAAACAGTAATTCCTGCTTCAAGGACATGATTTTTTTTTTTTTAAATAGAAGTTTGACGAGGTGCTTATTGAAAGTAAGCTACTTTATTTCTAATTATTTGGCAAGTTTCAGGTGGCTTACATGTAGTCCATTGCACCAAAATGGTCCATGACATGTACGAACTACTCTAATTTGTGTATGTTTTCTGACCAGTACTTTGTTCCTTATTGTTGATATCACCACAGTAACTGAATGCAATTTTGTATTTCTTTATTTTATTTCAAGTCTGTCTGCAAGTCATGAATGTGCCTACAACAGACCTAACTTTATGCCGATTGCCCAGCACAGTCAGAATAACCAGGAGCAGATTTTTGCAGAGTTCAGTGTTATAGCTTTTTGCTCATCAGATAATCATGTACATCAGAAGACATTAGATTTTCTGTTCTACATACTGAATTACCAGAATCAGCACCATTTTAGATAAACAATTAAGAGTCTACTTAAAGGTGCGATTTTACATTGAAAATTTTGCAAAGTCAGAGCAACTTTGCTTTTAGATGCCAGTAGCTTGTCCCAGGTCACACAGGAAGCCTGTGGCAGAGTGAGAAACTGAACTCAGATCTCCAAGTCCCAGTCCAATGGAACACCTAATCCTTGGGAAGATGTTACACAGATGCATGTGAATATTAAAAGTGTACCTCTACCATAAGTACAGCTCCAAGACACATGGAGACAAACATAAATGCTGGAACTAGGGATGGTGCTCCACCCCCTGGCTTGAGGGGGTTTCCATCATATACAGGGTTTACAGTGTAGTGGGGGTGCTGAGAGCCATTGAACCATACAAATTGTTCCAGCACCCATGGAGGCAAATCTCTAGTACCTTCCTCATTTAGCTTCACAAATGGATATATTACTCTCTAACCCATTCAGATGTTAAACTCAGGAACTGAATTTCACCACTATGAAATGTCTTTGGCAGCTGCCAGATTGTCGCATTCCCCAGGAAATACTTTTGCAGCGATCTACAGTGAAGACATTAAGATTATTGGCTCAGTGAAATCCAGGGCTGCTCACACACAGTTGCCTTTGGCCAGAAGCTGCACACACAGTTGTTTATGGAATCAGGTACTATCTATAGTACTTTTCCAAACTACCTAGTTTCAGGTTCTCCTTGGGTAAGTTACATTTTGTTTTATGATTCTTTAACCATCAAGTTAAAAAGTTTGCCACTATGCACACACACAGTATTAAAATGCTTTAATGAATGAATTTGTATTTCCTTGGGCAACACTATGCTTTTCAATATCACACATTTTAGCAGGTGTTCCTGAAAGAAGTTGCATTCTACGGAGTTATAAACATAATTGAATAGATGTGCATTAGTCCCCGTTCAGGAAGCATCACTATTCAAACAGGACATTTACTCCTTTACGTGTCTACAATGCTTGAAAGCTAGCCATCATGAGCTTCTCAAAGACATCTGCAACTATTTTTTCCCCAGCTGCACAGGAACTTAAAATTTTAAATTTATTCAAATCAAAATTAGATTTATTTCTAAGTTATGCGATTTACATGGAAAATGGAGGTATGTGTTGAATACACATTTTATAGTCTAATTCAATTTAGAAAATGCATGACAAACTTGCAAACTGAAAAGAAAATTTAAGAAGTAACAAGAAATATTAAAAAGATCCTTTGCTTCCCCATAAGGTTCAAGTTGGAGCTGTGTCCAACAGTTTTGAGAGATCCCTAGAGTAATCCCCAGCTTTTACAAATCCAAAAAAAAAAAAAAGATATTGTAGCATTCATATATTTGGTTTACCAAAATAATTTTTTAAAAAATCTGAAGTTGCCTCATGGGAGAGTCAGCTTACTGGAGATTTATTACAATGAAAGTTTGACTCACCTTTACAAATTATCACATTTTTTAGAATAAACTAACAACTTCCAAATTTTGCTGAATTTTGAGCACAATTACCTCCATGCTCCCTACTAAACTGTAGTAAATTTGTGCTAAACTGTCTCCTTAGATTTAATCTTTAGGTTACCCAATGTTTTCAGAGAACTTTGACAAGTTACTAAATTTTTTTTCTTTTTTGAAACATTGATGAGAGCGCATGAAAATATAAAATTTTTTAATTATCTTCTAATGTCTTCCAGACAAATTTTTGGTTTGTTTTTAAAATTACGTTCTATTTGGCACAAATGCTACCTACAACCTTTTTGTGTCAGAATATGGCTACCTTTACAATGCATTTGGCTCCCCTTCCCCACTTGCCAATCTAATAAAACCATTAGGTGGTTCATTTACTCACCAGTTGCCCTATACTAGAGCATGCAGTTTAGGGTCTGGAACAAAAATTATATCTCAGTCAAATTTTCATGCCAGACTGCTACCTTAATATAATCTGCTATTCAAAGAAAAAGGATCTCGTTATCCTATATATAAAATGTTGTCAGATGTGATGTGTGTACACAATGAGCAAGATTATTTCAGCATACAAAGTCATCAGTAGTAGTTTCAAGTCAGTCCCATAATTATTGTCTGAAGAGAGTTTTAAGAAGTTTTCCCCTCCTTCCATAGAGAAACAGAAGTCCACACAAACTGCCCCAAAAAGACACTTTGGCAATTTGTAATAGAGTCATTTATTTTTACCTTCAAATTCCCTACAAATATTTATGCTAAACATTTAAGAAAAATCTCAAGGCCGCATACAAATCGGGGTTCTGGTGACAACAGGCACACTTCGGCAACATGCACAATTTTATGTGCATTTGTAGTCTTGCAGAGCAGTTGTGTAGAAGATATTTAAGACCAAACATTTTACACAGGTAATCTTAAAATAGGGCCTTTAGTCATTTCACGTGAGCTTGAAATCTCAGATCTCACAACAGATAGAATCAAATCTGGTTACTATTTGAACATGAGTAATTGCACTTTTCATATCAGCCTGGCTAGCATAATTGCAACTTGGGTAATATATTCTTCCTACCTAAATCTGCTTCCGAAGTTTCATCTAGAGAAGTTTGCTTTCCCTCTTAAAGTCCATTACTGCTGCTGTCTAAAAGAGACTAGTGCGTGAATACTTTCCATTTGTTACCTTAATGTTCAGTATCTATCAAATTTAGGCCCCAGTCCTGCAATTCATGGCATACAGATGCAGATATGCGCCCATACACAGTGACGTGCAGGACAAGGGACTTAGACTCTAAAATATTTATGGTGTGGACTGTACTTTAAAATTTATGCAAGTTACACCAAGCAAATACTTCTTAGTATGTAATGCCACTCAGAGGTGGTTGTTAACACATCACCCGTAAAATAATTTTTGAATCCTTCAGGATGAAGGGCAATAAACAAAGTAAGTTATAAGATTATATTGACATCAAGATGTTCTAATACTCCCAAGAGTGGATCCACAAGAGTAAGCAACAGCATCAAAATAATGAGATGCCTCAACATTTTCCTGTCAAAGTTGCTAATTACAAATTTCTTTTTAACTTCAGATTTTAAATTTTATTAAGCTTCCACTAGGTGGTGCTCTGCATACATTCAAAGTTTTTGCAGCCACTATCTATTCCTCATGTTAAAAAAAAAGTGCACTATGTAAACCCCACCAACACACACAGTCATTAAAACTCCAGGGAAGGTACCAGTTCAGGCAGCCTTAGCATCCAATCTCCTCATTAACCAAATGCACTGACTCCTCACTTCCACAATCAACTCCTTTGCACTTCCAATATATAGCCAATGACAATACACAGCAAATTCCTTTACATCACACAAATGCACAACCTTTACTCCAACCACAGATTGTATCTGCAGAGCATAGTGATCTCATGCACTTACAGTCTTGTGCATTATTTGTACAACTGAAAGCATATGGCTGGAATCAAGGTTGTGGGTGAGAGATTTAGGGCAACTTAGTACATGCACAGTGATTACAGGGCAAATGCCTCCCATCTCTCATTGCCACTCATCCACAGGCCTCACCATCCCTGCAATATCCACCCCATCCTCAACCTACACAGCAGCTAATCCAACATATTTGGCTCCTCACAATGCTACTGCCCAGTGTGCTGAGACTCAAGGGGATGAAAGCAGTGATGCCAGAGTTGGTATTTATGTCCAGGGGGGCACTGGTGGGGGTGTCCTCTGTACTTAATATGCTTGAAGGACTCCCCTCACCCTTATGCCTAGTACACCAGAAAGCAGATGTGCCAAGGAGGCCCTTTAACACGGTTTTAGAAAGGGCTAGTTTTTAAAGTGCCAGTCTGACTAGTAAAATAACTGAATAATTAAATTCACTTGGCCCATACACAATGAGTGAATTTAGCCCTCAAATTTAACAAAGTAAATTGCTAAACATAGATTTTAGTCCCACTTCAATTGCAAATTTAAATGCAACACTAACTATGGAGATGCTAGGGTATGTCCAGACATACATTTAGATACAAACCCTTTTTGTTGGCACATGAGGATATATTTTGAAAACTTCACAAGTGGCTGTGGGTATAAAAAGTTTCATTTCACTGGAAAGGTACTTACTAGAATGCTTTAAGTTAAAAAACAGCCACAAGAACTTCTCCACCATTCCTACAATCCATTTCTTGTTTCTTAATGGGAAACTTGCCACAATTAAGCAAACAGTGATTTGTTGCATGTCAGTTAGTCAGAGCTCTCTTCACAGTTATGATCTACTCAGACTACATTTTCTTGTTACAACCACTCTGAAATGCAATATTTGGGCATTACAAACAGAGATTGCATATGCACAAAATGCTTCAATTTCTACAAATTTGTATTCCAGTTGTATTTCGGGTATACAGATTTACCTTTGTCGAAAGAAACATTTTCCAGCTTCCCAGATTGCAGTTGCAAGTATTTCCTGAGCTTCAGGGAAGGAATTATGCACTGAAGGCTGGTACTGGTAGGAAGGGCTACAGTTCTATTTTGATTTGTTTTCTTGTTGGTAATACCTGGCTGTACAACTGTGTTTTAGACATGTGGCAGAAGTGCCTAGAGCTCTGGACAGGTTCTTTGTGATGCACTGTCTAAAATTATATGGGAGTTTATATGCCAGTACATAACTGTTTTTCTTAAATGCAAGTTTAGATTGCAGAGGCACATCTATATCTTTCAGGAGAAAATAGCAAATGCTCCGACAGCGGCTAAGAGCAAAATGACACTTTGAATCCATTCTGCAACAATGACCACTTAGTAAAACTTCCATATTTTACACAAGCTAGCTACAGTGTACACACCTACTTGATTTCTAAACATAAGCCAAAATATGCTGAAGGAGCATAGTTTATGTTCTCCATTTAGTAAAAAGTGCTTTTTTGGTACAGCATAAAGTCTTAGCATGTCACTAGAAGCCTACAGATATCTTACTAACTGGCTTACACAAAGCTACTCTCAGGAAACAACAAATTGTCTAAGTAGGTAGAAAAATTAAAATCATTCCATGTTAAATTCTAACAAGAGGTTAGGCAAAGGTGTTACAATCAAGTCTCATGTCAATTTGCAATTCCTGGACTTAATATTTGAAGACCTACAGAAAAATACTGAAGGAAAAATAACTTGTTTGTCTAATGGGTGCATAGAATATACATAAAGAAGTTTAATTTAGTCTATCTATAAGTCACAAACCACGCTATTAAATGGTCTATCATTCTTACAAGTTGGATTTTGTATAATGTCATGAGTGCAAATAGTATGATACACAAAATATTTACAAGGACGGCACAGAGATTGTGCCATGACCAGTAGAAATAAACAAGTGAATGAGACAGATGAGATGAAGAGCTACCAAGCTCCTTACCCATTGTTGCTGCTGGAGCTCCCTGACGGTATTCTCAGCTTGCTCCAGTTTAGTAATGGCCTCATCACTCTGCTGTTTGATGGTGGCTAGCTCCCGTTTTATGAGGTAGTTTTCCTCAGCCTCCTGGGCCCTTGTCACTTGTCCCTTAGGACATAATTTTCTTTTTAAAGCAATTGAGGACAGATCCAAGAAACACTGCCTTTGTGATGCTTAGCCATTAACTTTGCGATATTAAATCTCAAACAGCATAGTACTTGGTTACAATTGATAATTTAGTAAAATGTAGCAGTTTAGTACTGCTAATCTGTGAAATTAAAGTTTAGCATCTTTTAGCAAGTTCAGTTGTGTACTTGCATTCAATAAAATTCAGGTCATGCAATGTTACTCTGTTATACATGCACCGGTTTGCTAAGAGTTTTCAGCGTTCAGTTTAAGGGTAAGTGTTAATACAATGCCACAGAATCCATGATTACAAAATTGTACTATGAATTTCATGTTAGAAAAATATTACAACGTGCAGATGTCAGATTTTTAGCATCTAAAAATAGACCAAACAAAATTCTAATGAAGAATTAGCTAAATATTTTATGTCCAAATTAGGTAGGTAAGGTTACATTTCAAAATAAACGCACGTAACTATCCATGCATTAAATGCAGTTTTTTCCATTTCGAGGGTGGGAGGGGAGGTATAAGGTAAAATACTCAAGGACTATACCTGTATCAATCTATCTGCCAAGGAAGCACTTTCCTACAAAAAGGAAAAATTTAGACAGGAATATAAGGGAAAAGAAAAACAAAAACAAAGGAGAGGTAAGAGGACAAATTAAGATGCAAGAAAGAATGTCTTATTCTACCCATTTTCCATACAAATAGTAATCTTTCAGGACTGACTTTTCATACAAATTAATACAATTTATGTGTGAAAGTCGCTGCAATGATTACCTTCTGTATCAATCTAGTGTTCCATTTTAGCAGTCAGTCAAAGGAGGTCCTCAAAGCCAGACTAAGAATTTAAAACTCATCTAGAAAGGACTAGATATTTTGATGTGAACCAATTTTTTGTTTAGTCATTTACACTAGATAGTAATGCACTATCCGAAATATTCTGAATATGAACATGAATGTAAAGTACTTGACCCATGTTATACCATGAAAGGAAGGCACAATCTGATCATATTTAAAACTCAGCTAAATGCAGAGGCATTCATGCAATACCAAGATTCCCAAGAGGTAAAAGCAAGAACGTTAAATGATGCACAATGTCAGGCATGAAGAGCCAGTGACTTATTCTAAAACCGGTTTAGTAGCCAATAGTTTGCATTAGTACATTCTAGCAATAACTTAGTTTGCTAGTTTAACACACCTTGCTCAAGTTCTACAACAGAATTTTTTTCCTAGATATCTAAGTACTCTGACAAGCATTCTATCCAAAGCAATTCAGCTTAGCCAAAGAACCCACAAACTTTCAGGCAAGTGCAGTTTCAAGTCTATTCTCCTCTAATGCACTTATATGTTTTTCAGATTCTCTGCAACAAAGTACAAATTACTACTTCCAGACAAAATATATCATTAAACGATCAAAAAAAAGTTCAGTCACATTAAGAGAACTTAGTTCTTATCTATATTAAACTGATCACTTAGCTGTTTAAATTAGGTTCAAATGTTCCTCATGAAGTCACAATTAAGTCATCTATATTATGACTATTAGAGATTTTTTGAGAAGGAAAAGCATCTTTTTCCTCACAACAGGTGCACCTATTGGTTTGCAATATATTGCTGTTGTACAGCTATTTCCCTATTAACAGAGAATCACTCCTAAACAAATAGGATTGTTAAAAAATGAAAGACACTTAAGAGAAACCACTAATATTGGAATACCCTAAAGATGAAACTCTGCAACTTTTGCTTGAGTTACACAATTACCAAATGCTCTCATGTTTGACTGAGTACATTAAAAACAAAGCTTTCTATAAACTTATATTCAAATCCCTCTGAAACATTTCTTGTACTTTTATTTGTAAAACTGTAATATTTAATTATGGAAATTCACTACTGAGTGACTCATTGCAATCTGCCTTTAGCAGTCTCAAAAATAGGCTTCTCTTTTCTTGTGTAAGAGGGGTGGCCGTGTTACTCTGTATCCACAAAAACAACGAGGAGTCCAGTGGTACCTTAAAGAATAACAGATTTATTTGGACATAAGCTTTTGTGGGGAAAAAACCCACTTCAGATGCATGGGGTGAAAATTACAGATGCAGGCATAAATATACTGACACATGAAGAGAAGTGAGTTACCTTACAAGTGGAGAACCAGTGTTGACAGGGCCAATTCAATCAGGGTGGATGTGGTCCACTCCCAATAATTGCTGAGGAGCTGTCAATACCAACAGAGGGAAAATTGCTTTTGTAGTGAGCCAGCCACTCCCAAGTCCCGATTAAAGCCCAAATTAATGGTGTTAGATTTGCAAATGAATTGTAGCTCTGCAGTTTCTCTTTGAAGTCTATTTCTGAAGTTTTTTTTTGTTGAAGTATGGCTACTTTTAAATGTTATAGAATGTCTAGGGAGATTGAAGTGTTCTCCTACTGGCTTTTGTATGTTACCATTACTGATGTCTGATTTGTGTCCATTTATCCTTTTACGTAGAGACTGTCCGGTTTGGCGAAAGTACAGGACAGAGGGGCATTGCTGGCACATGATGGCATATAGCACATTAGCAGATATGCAGGTGAACCCCTCAGACAGAGACAAACATCTATAAGATCTTCATCAAGCATTCTTAAAACTACAACACCCACCTGGGAAAGTGAGGAAATAGATTGACAGAGCGAGATGGATACCCAGAAGTCACCAACTACAGGACAGGCCCACCAAGGAAAACAGAACGCCACTGGCGATCACGTACAGCCCCCAGCTAAAACCTCTCCAGCACATCATCAATGATCTATAACTTATCCTGGAAAAGGATCCCTCACTCTCACAGGCCTTGAGAGGCAGGCCAGTCCTCGCTTATAGATGCCCCCCAACCTGAAGCAAATACTCACCAGCAACTACACATCACACCACAGAAATAACCACCCAGGAACCAATCCCTGTAACAAACCGCATTGCCTACTCTGTCCCCATATCTACTCTAGCGACACCAGAGGACCCAACCACATGAGCCACACCAGCAGGGGATTCATTCACCTGCACATCTACTAATGTGATATATACCATCATGCGCCAGCAATGCCCCTCTGCCATGTACACTAGCCAAACCAGACAGTCTCTATGTAAAAGAATAAACAGACACAAATCAGACATCAGGAATGGTAACATACAGAAGCCAGTAGGAAAATAGGGACATGGGAGTGGCTGGCTCACTCCATGCATCTGAAGTGGATTTTTTACTCATGAAAGCTTATGCCCAAATAAATCGGTTAGTCTTTAAGGTGCCACCGGACTCCTCATTGTTCTTTTCATGTAAGTTTTACCCATATATTATCAACACTAAAAGCGGAAACATTCCCAAAGTCTTTTCTTTAAACAATATTTTCTTGCCCAATTTTTTGCTTCATGAATGTTGCACTCTAACTTGCAAGAAACCACACTATAAATAAAAGTTCTCTATTGCTATAACAAATTAGAATTTGATACAACACCTGTTAAAGGAACAGTTGTTTCAATTTACCAGTTGAAAGGATTACGTCTCTGGGGGGCATGCAAAGCCCCAGGAAATTACTAGTGTACAAAGACTGCTATGCACTCTACATGTGTCTGATTTAATCTGGGAAATGAACAATTTAATATTGCAAGTTAGAACGAAAAACCACTTAAATTTATAACCAGAATTATGATTTCAGGATATGGACAAAGAGGTTATCCAAGAGCAGTGCCTGTATTTTGACAATACATCAATACCGGTTTACTTTTATAATCTGATGTGCTTTCAAAAAATAAAATGAAATCCACAGAATTGTCCTGAAGTCCAAATGTTGAAAGTCTAAGAAGTTTAGATCTATCTGAAAGCATACCCATGTCTTTCCTGCCTCTGACCCAATTTTGTAGTGTAATAAAGATCCATGCAAGAGGCCAGAGTACCAGGCAACAGGCTTCCCAGACTGAATTAGACGGAGTGCTGCAACAGCCTATTAGGGTTTTGGAAGTATAGAGGCTGGTGGAACCTGCATTCATCTCTATCCTCTTTCTACTAACTCACAGTGAGCATTTGCGAGCTCTTCATTCAGCCCTCACCTGCAGTGGCTAGAAACTTAGGACTTTGGATAGTTAAGGATCCTCCCAAACTACAGGTACTCTAATCTTTCTGTATTTTGCAGAGATCCTTCTGACGCAGGGAATGCAATTCCACAGGAAATGAAGTTGGGATTTTTAAATTATATGCAATTCTATCCATTTAGTATGACCTTAAGATACAAGTTTTAAGGAACACTGCATTGGTAAGCAGCATCCATATTACTATATTACTGCCATGCTATTCAGCTAAGTAGAGTTAACAAATACTGCAGAATAGTGCACAAAAATTTATAAACAAGTTACAGTTATGAGGTACCCATGTCATGTATTCAAGTTTGTAGCAATTATGTAGTAAAGATGCAGGCTAAATCCAGTCACTCGTGTACTCACTTTTTCTAGTGTTTCAATGCGCTGTTTTAAGAGTCTGTTTTCTGTTCGTAGTCTCTGTAAAAGAAGCAAGACAGTTTTAAGCGTGTATGTGGGAGGATATGGACTAAAGAGATAGATAATCAAGTGACACCAGAAACTCAAACAAGTTAATTTCTTTAAATAAAAATAAATAAATCCACACTATTCAGCACATTATAAATGAAACATTATAAATGAGTAGAGAAAGCAGCAGTAACAAACGTCCCTTTCACACATACCGCTTCATCTGAATTAGCACGTCATAGAAAATATGGAAACTGGATTTGTTAAAGATAGCAAAGTTGAGACCAAATTTGCATTCTAATAAAGGGTAGTAAGCTGTAAGTCACAGGACACACCTACATAACATTTTAGAGAGAAGGCTGTTCAAGCTTCTGTGGTAAACAACATTAGCTTTATAAAGTTAGATTATACAATTCAGACAAGGCCAGATGAAAACTAGCTAGCTGGAATTCAAGAAAATTAGTTTTATCCTGAAAAATATTTTCCCTGTTCTCAAAAGTTAAAACAGCCCCATGACTTAGATAGAAAGTGAGTAGGGGAATGGGGGAGAACATTTCTTGTAGGCCCATCCAGAAAACTACTACAAGTAGTGCCATCTTTAGCTGTAGAGGGGATTTCACCAGTTTAACACAATTGCCTATAAGGGCTCTTCTAAACTTGTTTGCATATGCACAAGTGCATAGTTTGTTCATGCAGTTGCCACAACCGCGTGTGAAGCAGATGTGGGGCTTTCAATGGCCACTTACACATACAATCATGATAATTAATTGCATACAAGTTAAGCATGTATTTACCCTTTTGTTCAAAACTGCACGGGATAAAGTCAAGTTAGCCTAAGTAAACAATCTTCACATTAATAGTGGTGCTAAAGATTATAGTTACTATATATTGAGAATCCCAAAGGTTTGTTCACTGTATTATTTTAATTAACGTACCATTGCCAAATCTCTTCTGGCATGCCCAATGGGGAATCAGGCCTAAATTTTCAGAAGTGTTTAGATATAGAGTGACTCAAACGCTGAGCATCCACGCTCTCAAAGTCAGGGTCTTATAAAGAATCTAAAGTTGTGTGCCCAAAAACAGACTCTCAATCTCTAGTAACTTTTGAAAATTTAGGCCAAAAACGTATAACAACTTTGCACTTCAACAGTGCTTTTTATCAAAAGGTCTCAATGGTTTCAGAACATTACTTCCACATAACACCCATGTGTAGAAGGCAAGAAACCCCATTTTTTCAGATAAACAGGCACAAAAAGGGAAGTGACTAGCAAAGGCTGCAAGAGTCTGACAGAACTGGAATTCGAACCCAGATCTCCCAACTTCCAGTCCTGTCCTTTAGTCTCAAGACCAGCTGCTCCTTTAATTTACTACCCCCAAACGGTTATAAGTCCCTGATAGGGAAATATCTTGGTATGTATTTTTGTTTTCCCATATGAACCAATAACCTGGCTGTGATTTAGATCTGGGTTTTAGATAGCTCAGCTGGACTTACTGCTTTGTCAAATTAACAGCTATTTTGTTTATATGTTTTACTGGTATGTGCAAATGATTGTTAAGAGTATTAAGTAGTTAATTTTAGACATGGAGCAGCATCATGTCTGCCTATACACTGAATGCAAAGCCAGCATCTGTGGCATGTGCGCCTGTAGTGAGAATGAAGTCTGCAATGAATACAATACAGCCATCAGGAAGAAGGGATTCAATAGATTACTGCAATAAAGAATACCAACAAATGGGAGTTTCACCTCTCCCCCCCCAACAAGAGTCTTGCTGGAAGCAGCAGGATGGATGCCTCCCACAGAAGTGACGACTTTTTAAAAGATACCCTTTTTTATAAATATCAGAACTGTTTATTCACGTTCAGCCTTTTGTCCTATTACAGAAAGGATGTATTACCTAACAAATGTTAAAATAAATTAACATTACTAAGAATAGATGAAGATCCTGAAGAAATCGGAAACACTTTCAATATTTAATCCTGAATATCCTACCATAACCCAGATGAGCAAACTTGTTACATACCCCATGACATCTCCCATCACCACTGGGATTCTCCCCTAACAGGATATTGGAAGGAGCTGTTTTTAGAGCCAAAGACGTGGATCTCATTTTCACACAGCTTTTAGTGGCTGGGGGAGATGGATCAAACCCAAACTTTTGCCCAGTTGAAGGACATCAGAAACACTACTAAAGAGAAGTTTAAAAATTGATTTTGTCATTGGTTTTAACGTTCACCTAATGAACTGAATTTAAGTATTTGATTTTGGCAAGACTAAGGATTTGATTTTCTTTTTGCATAATGATGTTCACATTATTGAAATCCAACCATCAGAAGATTGCAATATTGCAAAGTATCTTATGTTTTTAAAACATCTTCACCAACTATAGGTTGCTAAATTAGTGACAAGCTATGAAACAATACATAGATTCTGTATGCTTTGTGACATTCTGTATGCTTTGTAGTTGGATAGAGAAACTAGTGGGAAATGAGATAAGGGTTTGTGATGACCCATGATTAGAAATTAATATATTGACACCCAGGAAGGGAAATTAGCTCAAACTGTACAGCCAATAAGGCTAAGAGTACAAAAACAGCAAAAGCTTGTTTTTGTCGCTAAAGCAAGCAGATACAATAAATGAATACACATGAAGCTGGTCAGTTAGTAATAAGGTGCCACATTTGCAAGGACTTTTCAGAGCAGAACTTAACAGTTCTTTTTAAAAATGTTATATATGTTAATTCCAGAAACTCAAGGATGAAAAATTGTCAATATTTTGCTTTTGTTCTCACGCCTCAATGCACGAGAAATGCAATGTCTTGCCAGCAGATGATACATTGCTCAAACATGTCAGGATTTTTTAAAATGAGGGTTAAGCTTCTTCCCTATCATTTACATTTATTTTTTCAGAAGACCCTCTGTGGGAAACCCACACCTACATCAGCATGTTACAAACTTATTTGTAGCCATCCTTTAATTACCGAAAAAGGCATCATTTCATATCATTTGTATACTTTTCTTGTTCATGATTTTCTGTATAGTGTTATTTCCATCAGAACTCCAGTGAAGGGATGGAGTACATTACAAACGTCCTCTTCAAACCCACAGCCCAAGTACAACTACTGTCATTCTAGTAGCTCATGAAATCCACCATTGCCAATATCCCAGATCAGACTAGTATCCCACCCCCAAGCCAACTCCTCTTCAGAGACATTTACACTGCTGCTTCATGCTTACTTTAATTTCAACTTGTTCTTCCATTTCTTTAGTTTTTATTGTAGTGTATTCCTTTTCTAACCTAAAAAAAAGGTAATCTCTATTAGAAATATTACAATTGATTTACTTCCTGGTATATGGATACACCCAACAAGCAACAGCAGAAAAATGTACATGCCTATGAATGATTGACATTTCCTTTGTTTAACGTAACTGCTTGAGAGTTACCTGTACTTTTTCCCTTATAGTAAACTATATGAAAAAAATTATAGGGCATCCCCAAGTAAATGAAAACACCTAAGTATCTGTGCCCAATCCCAAACCCACTGAATTCAATGGATAGACTCATTGATTTAAATGGGCTTTGGGTAAGTACCCTAACGAGCTCAAGCCTACTTAATACCCCAGGAAACTGACCACTGAACTGTTTTCATGATCTTGTGTTGTACAGAAATTTGACCTTTTTTTAAATTAGAACTCATTTGTATTTTTGTAGTCGATGGATTCTGAGCTGCCCTATAATTTATTAATCCTGTATGTTGGTCTGGTTACTGGGATGTTGATTGTATAAATACACTGAGTTACCTCAACAGAAAGAGATGGCTAAGGGACAATGCTAGAACTATTGGCTTTAATTATTTTGCCTCCTCTCCAGCCAATCTACAAAAATGGTTGGATCATGAGAGGAAAAAGCTCATGAATGCAGAAGGACAAAGGAACTCTGGCAGGTTTTGGGGGCACCAAACTGAGACAACACCCTCCTGAGGCTGTCTGAAGAAGTCAGGCATGCCTATCTTACCATAAAGGGATGACAGAACTTTAGGACAGATGAGCGCAGACTGTTTTAAAATCCCCTCTATATGCCTTTGCTCCTACTGCAAAATAAACAATACTTTGGTTTTTAAGAAGGCCATCTGATCACTATACACCACTAACCACTAGTGATTCCCCAGAAGGGAAGAACCACAGGTGCGCAAACTCAGTTGGCCTTGCAGAGTAAGAAATGTGGACACAGGGCCCAGCCTGAGAATGGGACAATTGCACAATTCTACTTCAAGATAGGTAAAGGCATGATATTCAAGACCTGAAGGAGTGCACTCAAAGATCAGAAAGGGGACAGAGGTGAAGCTAGCCTTGTAACCATGACAGTAGTACTGAGCTCTTAACCAGCAGTAAAAAGTTACATCTGTTCAGATTACAAACAGCACTCATCGTGACCATACAAGCAATCCTCATTGTTGTGTGAATGGATTCTTCACCTCTAGAAAATCTAAGTCATAAGTCTGAATCCAAGACTAATATTTTTCAAACTGGTTTTTATATTTTAGTTTATATGTGCCGTTTACAAAAGTCGGTGTAATTTATGAGAATCCTGCAGCTTTTCAAGAAGTATTTTAGATCGCTTATTTTTCCTCTGAGACATCATTATTTTAGTTACAGTCATCAACAAGACTAACACGGCTGTTACTCTGAAACCAACAAGAAGTAGTTATTACTAGTTTTAGAAGAATTACTACACTGATAAAACTTGGTTCATGTTATGTGCTGGAACGAACTTATTTAGAGCATAAAACACTGGAACCGCTGAACCGGGAAAAAGCACAAACATTTCTATGGATTCACAAAGCAAGAGACATGCGTGGCAACAGCCCAGCATTGTCTCAGAATGCAGCACCTACTTTTTCATCTTTTTCGCATTGTATTTGACTTGGTAAGATGCTTGGATTAGTTTGTCTGGACCACTGTCAAACTGATGTGGAATGACCTTTTGAAAGTGCTAAAAAGCAATTCAGAGAATACAAGCAATTAGTACTGGCAAATACATATATTCATGGCTTTCAAATGAGCTTGCATTTAATACTTGATTGTACATTTAAATTTACCTGTAACATCCCTTCCATGTCAAGTTGCATTAATTCAGCCTGGTTCATCTGAAGAACTGCTAAACCTACTCGAAATACTATTTCTAAACCCTGGAAACAGAAGTTTAAAATAAATAAATAAATAAATAAATAAATAAATGCCAACGATTCCTTAAGGCATTGTCAACCATATAGAACAATAACCAGCTTACACAGTTGGACTGGGAGCTGGCCCAGTATCCTGGCCAAATCCCAGAGTAAGTCATGACAATATGCCTTCCTAAAATCCCATTTAAGTTACAGTCTGTCTTGCACTCTTCACCTCACCCTAAATTTATGCAGTGAGGATTAAACACTGCCAAAAAGCTAAAACACACACCTCAGAAGTGACACCCTTCCAGTGGCTGGTGAAGTAGGCCCACTCACATAAAGGGTACTATACAGGTGCAACCTTTATTAAAGTCTTATATGAACTATTTGGTAAAAACCGTGCACCTCTCAGGAAATAAATGTTAGTTGTATTATACCATTTCTGAAATAATTCAAGTAGCTATTTAAGCAGTCCTTTGTTGCTACAAAGGAATGTGACACGTTTACAGTATTGAAAACACTCTTATGTAGGACAATAAGATGTGCATTGGCACCTAATGACTCTAAAAGTTGTGAATTTGGAAAAGCAGCATTTAATGCAAAAAATGTTACAAACTGAAGCCTATGAAGCATAATGTTTTGATTTTTAATTTGTGAAAAGTGCCAGATTGACAGCCCTGCAGAACAACTAATTTATCCACAGGCAGCTGCTGCCTTCCAATACGTCCTCTACCTCCTCAAGCTGACCAGAATGCAGCATTTCTGCCTATTGAACTCCATTCCTTTACTGAAAGAGTCTGACGTTCTAGCTGTGAGGTGAACACCTGTCTACTACAAACTAGTGCTGCCCATTTCATCCACAGCATGTGTCAGATGTGGTCAGCATTTTGTTGCTTTTTCCTCCCTTTAAACACTTCTGACTCTGATATAAGCTCATCCAGAATAGATTAGCCTTTTCTTCACAAAAATATATACAGAGAAAGACTGGTTCCCTAACAAAACAATGAGATTAAAAACATGCTTACTTTCAAATCTACATGCAAAACCCCCCCAGAAAAGTAGAATTTATACAACTACCTAACTGATAGCATTTAGTAGCTCTTGTTGGGGTGGTGAACGTATTACAGATATTTGCTTACCTCAGACATAAAGATATCAAATATTCTTGTTGCAATTGGTAGTGGAAAAGTTGTAAGAAAGATAGTTAAAAACCATGATGAAGCATACATAGAAGTATGGAAACTCTGAGACTGAAAGTGCACATAAAGTTCTGGTAGTTGCTCCTGGGAGAGAGGATCAGAAAGTACATATTAAACAAGAGCTAATGCCACCTCTTACAGTTTCAGTTAATGGGGAAAAAAATCACTGACATTCAATGAAGAATGCAAGGCCAAGAGTTTGTAAGCTACAAAAAAGGTTTAGGCATTTATACAGATTACGTACAGTTACATTAGAGAAGATTAAAATTAAGGGGTACTCTAACATGCAGATTTATACAAGCCAACCACTGCATGACTGGGGTTAAGAAGCAGATAGCAGGCATATTACATTGGTATCTTATGGAATTTCTTGAATCTTCTCTGAAGCACTGGCACTACCTATTGTCTGACTACATGAGCAAATGGACTACTCTGACCTGGTATGGCCATTCTTATGGCCCTACAAATTAATAATTCCTTGGGAGGGAAAAAAAAAAAGCAGCTCTCCCTCTCCCCCTCCTCCTTGGCTCACGCAGTAGGCGTTCCTCTTGCAGTTTTAATCTGCTTTAACTACTGCTTATAAGCAAATGTTTTGCCCAATATCTGGGGGGGAAAAATATTTTCTAGTATAAGTATACAATGGAAGTAGGCTAAATAATAACTATATAAGATACTATACATTTAACAGCTTTTACAGTTACCTGTATCATGTATTCAAACTGGTACATACAAAGGCCCAGCTCAGCCATACTTGGTTTAAAGAGTTCTCGAAGTCTATAATCTTGCATTAATTTGACAAACACACAAAATGCTTCCTCTTCTGGCATCTATATTCGACAAAGGCACAATGAAAATTTATGGACACAAGCCAAGACATGTTAATTTTTTTTTTATTTTCAAGGGACTTATAACCACTTATGGTTTACCCAGAAGTACGCTGGCTAATTTAGGATTCATGCTGTAGTTATTCAAAGTAAATGCATGTCCCTTTTCTGACAGCATGAATCTAAGAGAATCTACATAGGGAACAAATATAATAGGCTCTTCAATTCAGTAGAGAAAGATAAATACGATCCAACAGCTCGAAGCTGAATAAGGCATAAATTTTTAAACACTGAGTAATTAACTATTGGAACAATTTACCAAGGATTACATTGGTTTGTCCATCACTGATTATTTTAAATAAAGATGAAGTATTTCTAAAATATATGCTCTAGGAATTATTTTGGAGATGGTCTAGGACTAATACAGGAGGTCAGACTAGGTAATCACAAGGGTCCCTTCTGGCCTTGGAATTTATAAAGCCTATTCTAATGTTGAGCACTAAGTCTCAAAGTGTGAAAGACAGCTCTGAAGTTTGGCACATTTTAATTCAAATGAAACTTTGTGGTCACTCAGCAATCAAGGCCACTGAAGTTGAAATGAGTAAGAGCTAGGGGAACACTGAAGTAACTTTTGAAAAAAGTTTGAGAAATAAGTGTTCCCCCTCCATTGAGAAAGGTCACTCCTTATTCAAGGTGCTTCTTGGGAAGGACAGAAGCAGAGAGCAAAAAACTAATTTGACTCTGTAAAATAACTTTAAAATGTTCTTGACTAGTGAAGTATCTGGCAGTCCACTGTGAAAGAAATTATGGAAAACTAAATATACAGAAAAAAGAATCCCATCACATGGTACTATGCTGTGTTCTGCATTCTAGTAAAACATTAGAGGTTCTACACATTTGACATAATACTCTCTTTACCTGCATAAGCAGCAGCCCAACTATAAAAGCACTTCCTTGACAGTATCCAACCTCACGATCCACTAAAGAATAAGCCTAGAAGATAAAAATCTTTAAGATTTTGAAAAGCAACAATTAAAACACTTATTTTCATACTGGTTGCTGTTTTTCTGCTTTTGTTTCTAGCTGCTAAAGGTGGGTCAACTTTTATCCAACCCTTTCAGTAGGCAGAAGCTTAAAATGCCAAGAAAAGTGACTTGTGCTTAAACTGAACACAATACTTCAACGGTTAACCTTTGAAATAAAACAGACATGGTCCTTCCTGTTGGAGCAGTCATCTGACAACTGAAGCTATTTTGGATCAGCATCTAAAGAGCAAGCTCCCAAGGGCAGATTAAAGGTTTGAAAGATTTTCATTTTGGAATGAATATTTTGAACATTGGCCATATTCAAATAAGCATTTCTAAATGCAAACTGTAAAGGCTTATAAACTTCAAGATAGCAGCAAGTCCTTAATGTTCTCAGTGTAGCAAGACTGACTCCTATGTCAGCCACAGATCTATATTTGTAAAGTTATGGATTGTATATGGAAACAGCCACTCAAAACTGTGCCTTTATTCAGCCATTAGTTTTGTGTCCTCAAGTGGGTTAGGGAAAAAGGTCCTCCACTAAGCAGTTTCAAAGTCTCCTAAATGAAGACATTCTACTTGTGAAGTTGAAGGACCAAAGCTTCATGTTTGCCACGCTGTTTCCTTGTTGATTGCTCTGTTCAAGGCCAGTTTACATTAATTATTTTTCCTTTAACTCCACTAGTTGAGACAGATGGCTGGAATGATTTCCTCTCCCTAGTTTGCCTGAAACAGATCATGATAGCAAGGGAGCAGCACTAATGGGATCACAGCACTTAGACATTTCAACAAATCTGGCCTTCAGAGTACCCTTCCTTCTCTGAATTCCTAATAGACTACAGAATTTCTATTTAGAGGTCAAATGATCTAGTGGTAGCATGATGCTTCAGAGGACTGAGCTCAATTCCATGTTCCCTAGGCCAGCATAGGGCAGAAGCATTTCATGTTATTTGTCACCCCCTTTTGAAAGGGATACATGCAGTCTTCAACCAGAGGAATTTGTTAATTTTAGGAAGATACTGGGCAACAGGCTTCACAACACTATCACCACTTCTCTCCCAACCCATCACCCCCAATTCCACAGCTGTCGTGACATAACCTGGCCTACAGAGGGAGTAGCTCCTGTCTGCAGCACAGCTATGGGGGGTGGTGGATTTCATCGAGGAGCAAATGTATGGAGTAGTGTTTTTGTTTTGGTTTGGTTTTTTTACGCAGACCTGGTTTGCTCTAACAGACACTAAATTTTGGATGACAGCAATATATTCATTCCAAACATGACAGTTTCTAACAGAACTGTAAGAACACTTCCATGTTATGCTGCTCATATTGTAGAGACCTTGAAACACTGAAAAGTAGAAACGTTCAGACCATAACTACTATGCAAAGGATGATGAAGCTGCTGAAAGATATTTTCTTCGCAACAAGTAAAATCAAGATTTAAAAGTAACCCATGTTCCCAAGGCTTAAGTGTATGTTCTCAGATGTTCTTGCTTAGCAATAAAAACAAAAAAGGGCCTGTTTCAAGCAGCAAGTACTATCAAAGAGAAATATACAATGATCAGTTAAGAGGTAGACACAATTTTAATGAGTTTTCAGCTGGCTCCTTAGCTTTTATTTAGAGTAGCTGAGGTTTATTGGGTTATGGGATTTGGCAGCAGGCCAATTTTTCTGCGGAATAAGGATTTCAAGAAACTGTGGGGCCTGGAAAATCTTTTTTTCCTAAATTAAGCCCCAAAATAGTTACGTCAGCTAATAAATGCAAAGAAATTCTGGACAATATTACTCTGAAGTTAGAAGTCATCTTGTTCTTCAGCACTGTAGCAATCTCAAATCAGTCTGGGTGTAGCACAAAGTGAAGGAACTACCACCTAGACTCAACAGGGGGTCTGAAGATTGAATGGCACTTCTAATTTTCAAGTTCTTGTTTTAGTCAACTGTCACAATGTGTGTTTGTTTTGCTTTACTGCACAAGCTATTTCCATTATGCTGTTAGTATTTAGTATTGATTTTATCCTAATCTAAGATAATCAAGTAAATGTTTTCTACTGCTGATAAAGTGAAGTTATTCCTATAGCTAAACATACAAATATCTGCAAACCATTTGAAACTGTGCTATCAAGAGGTAAAAATTTTTATACTAAGTTACAGCCTTGAAAGTTCTATTGCCAAAGACTAGAGGCTCTTAAAGAGGATGCAACATGGGTATGTTATTTTTCAAGCCTCCATCTGTGTTCCAATATTGTATATTCAAAAAAAACAACTAACTTACCTTCATAACATTAAATAAAACCTCCTGCCCAAGACTGTCTTTTTCTTTAAAAAAATCATGTTCAGGATATGTTCTAGCAATGTCCCTTCTTATCAGTTTTTCACAAGGAGAAGTCATTTTCAAAAGCTCTGAATACTGATCCTTTATTGGCATGCTTTGAGCAGTGCATAAAAGCTGCCAAACTATTGCTCTAAAATGATGGGGTATCCCTTTTCGAACAAGCTCCTAAAGCATAAGAAAAAAAGAAAGGAAACTCATTAATGATTCCTACAGTATAAATATGTAAATTTCTAAAACAAACTACAATGAAATTTTAAATCTCTTTTGTGAAGGAAATTTCCCATGACTTAAGTTGGTTACAAAGGAAAAGCATGTTATAAAACAATTACATAGTCCACAATAGGCACTTGAGAGATGGGTGTTTAAATGGTGATCCAACTAAACTCAGCTTTGTTTTCACTTAGTAGCAAAAGAAAGGAGCGTTGACCAAGAAGATGCCAAGAGTATGATTACCATGCAACTTAATAAACAATAAAAACTTTAAAAGTGTATTTTCAGGAGTAAGTAATTCCATTCATTAGTCTATCAAATCAGGGTACCTATCATCTAAGCAGTTGCACATGCTTTCAAGCACCACCAGATGGCTACTATGCACCAGAACTTAACTGACGCAGTTATTTTAACATTCCACAAAAAAATGCCTTTAAAATACAACATTTGTACATTTGTCGTCATTTGTAACCTCTGAATCAGAAATATGAAATCTTTGGTTGGAATAAATCCCCAATGAGTTAAAATTAAAAAAAAAGTAACAAAATGGTTACATAGTATTAGCCAATAGTAATATTTGCCAAATTTATTATTTTAGGCATGTTAGGCTACAATGTTAATATGGTACAACAAAAGTCCTACTTCTATATTATTCAGATAAGGGTCTCCTTGACTAGGACAATACCTACAGGAAATTCTTGTTTTAATTATTTTTTTTGCGCTTAATTTCACTGATGTCAGTGCTTCAAATATTTTTTAAAAGCTATTTGAACATGAATTCAGAGACAAAGGCATACCAAGAGGGTAATATGTTCAGGTTCTCTGACTTTTTTTGGTTCCATGTTATGGGACATATATAAATTCTCTCAAAAGCTAAAGACAGCTATTACACAATACAAGCCTCCCCTGAATAAACTGGTGTACCAGGAACAGATTCTTGGGGCCCCTAATAACTTACTTACATATTCTGTCTCATTCCCGGGGTGCTCGAGTATGGTACTTGTATTTACAGATCTGTCAAGAAAGACTGAGCGATAAGGGGTTTGGTTGCTTGATAAAGATTTTAAGAAAAGGTACAGCTCAGGAAGTTTAAGAATCGTGGGGACAACCACCAACCGCAGAGTCATTCCCTCAACAATGCAACACAGTTCCTTTCCTATGCATTTTCTAGCACTTTATCTAATAATTTGTTCTGTGTAAGTTTTTGAAAGAGGATAACCTTCTTTTACTTAAGTAATCCTTTCACTAAGAAAATATCAAAATGCTGAAAAGGAAAAAAAACTGGTAGCTGTCATTGCTGTAAGTTTATTAAATAAGAATTATGGAGAAGTAGAAACCTCTCCATAGTTAAAGCTGAAACCAGCACCTCATTACAACACTATTTCAAACACCTTTGCAGGTAGCTCTATTAATTTAAGGGATAAGTCTTGGCAATTATCATTTGTCCAAGTCTTATGAAAGTTCAGTAGGTACTTTTATTTTCAAGACCTTCAAGTTAGCTTCATTTTAAAGTTTTTGAAGACTGCCTCTCTATTTGTCAAAAAAAGACAAATACATAAAATCATTCTCAGCATTGACTCTTCTGGGAATTTCCAAGGGCAAGGACAGCATTTAAAAAGTAACAATTAAAAAAACAATTACACAGTTTCTTGGTGAAGTCAACAAGGAAAGGAATGTAACAAAGAACCTTCACTACAGCAGGAGCGTTCTGTAGCTCTGTAGCAGTGAAATCAGCCCTTTAATATCCCTAAGGGAGCCAGGCCCCTCTGGAGCTCCACTTTAGGAGTATCTTAGTAGCTCTGTACTGATGATCCCTTGCTGATTCAGGGAGCAGAGCTTTAACTCCCTGAGCCAGCTATGCTCCCATCAACTCAAAAGCCCTTTATCACATGCCCCCCGCATCCCTGCTCTCATGTGATACTGTGCCTCAACTTTCCAAAGCAGCCTCCAGGTATTGCTTCCCAACAATTCACCACCCTCAATTGCCTATACCTCACACTCAATGTGGGAGGGGAGAGTTAACTCCCCATCCCCCCAAATTAAGTTACCTATGTACATGCTCTACAAGGTAACAAAGATTAACTCTTCCTACACACCTAAAGAAACAGTAGTGGTACCAGGGCTATATGTCAGGAAAATATTGCACTTGCTAACAGGCACAGCATCATTCTTTACGCATGCCAGGGGTACTGAAAGGTGGAACCCCTAAGGTCACCTTGCAGAATTACCTCTAGGTCCATGCTTTGAGGTGGATGAAAGTGCCAAAGTTGGAACATACGTCAACCTGCCTGAAAAAAATAATGTACCATATGTTTATGTTCAGAGTTTCAAAAATTTCCCCAAGTCTACAAGCCCAAGGGCAGCCTTTGTAGCCAAATCTGAAGATACCTCTGCAGTCAAAGCCATGCCCACTGGCATTAATGGGAAGTTGTTGCATACTGTTATACACTGTATTTAATTTTAAAATTGTCAATCCATCTAATTAGTTTTAAAAAAGTAACTTACAAGTAGAGCTGGCTGAACAGCAAAAGAAAACTCACTGAAAAGATATTCCACTAACACTGGTTAAATTTGACAACTATGTTCCCCAAATAGTATTTTGACTAGTTTTATAGTTGGTGAAAACACCACAAAAACCGTTTGACACTAGTGTGTGACACTCAAATATTTCCACTGAATCCTACTCAGATGCCCTATTTACTACATTCTCTTGTTTTTGTCTGGTCTTCCCTCCTCTTGACTTCAAATCATTTTCTTTCCATGATCTATTAAGGGTGCCTTTTCACAATCTGTCTTTGCTTTGTGAGCAGAAACAGTCTGTTTCCTCTTTTCCTTCTTTTCTCGGTCCTCAAACCTCTCTTTCACTTCCCATGTTATGTTCTCTTTCTTCACAGCTGCCTCCCCAAAGAAATTTTACACACACACACACTCTTTCTCTCTCTCCATCTCTGCTACCCACTTTACACAAACACCCAACCACTTACATGGGGTTGGAAATTATTCAACATTTAGCAAAACTAAGCCTACTTGTCATCTTCCATATCAATTTCTGGCTAGTTCCAACTGTCACAGACCAATGCCTAGTTAATAAATAATTAATTTTATATAATACAAGAATATAAGAATGGCCATACTGGGTCAGACCAAAGGTCCATCCAGCCCAGAATCCTGTCTACCAACAGTGGCCAATGCCAGATGCCCCAGAGGGAGTGAACCTAACAGGTAATGATCAAGTGATCTCTCTCCTGCCATCCATCTCCACCCTCTCACAAACAGAGGCTAGGGACACCATTCCTTACCCATCCTGGCTAATAGCCATTAATGGACTTAACCTCCATGAATTTATCCAGTTCTCTTTTAAACCCTGTTATAGTCCTAGCCTTCACAACCTCCTCAGGCAAGGAGTTCCACAGGTTGACTGTGCACTGAGTGAAGAACTTCCTTTTATTTGTTTTAAACCTGCTACCCATTCATTTCATTTGGTGGCCCCTAGTTCTTATATTATGGGAACAAGTAAATAACTTTTCCTTAGTCACTTTCTCCACACCACTCATGATTTTATATACCTCTAGCATATCACCCCTTAGTCTCCTCTTTTCCAAGCTGAAAAGTCCTAGTCTCTTTAATCTCTCCTCTTATGGGACCCGTTCCAAACCCATAATCATTTTAGTTGCCCTTTTCTAATGCCAGTATACGAGATGAGGGGACCATATCTGTATGCAGTACTCAAGATGTGGGTGTACCATGGATTTATATAAGGGCAATAAGATATTCTCAGTCTTATTCTCTATCGCTTTTTTAATGATTCCTAACATCCCGTTTGCTTTTTTCACTTCCGCTGCACACTGCATCGATGTCTTCAGAGAACTCTCCACGATGACTCCAAGATCTTTCTCCTGATTAGTTGTAGCTAAATTAGGCCCCATCATATTGCAGGGATAGTTGGGGTTATTTTTTCCAATGTGCATTACTTTACATTTATCCACATTACATTTCATTTGAAATTTTGTTGCCCAATCACTTAGTTTTGTGAGCTCTTTTTGAAGTTCTTCAGTCTGCTTTGGTCTTTACTATCTTCCTCCCACCTACCCCACTCCAAGCCACTGGGAAAGGGAAGGGTGCTCTCCCTGAATCCTACAAAGTAAGGAGCCCCTGAGCATCAGATATCTATTAAACAGAGGTTAATAGATCCCTCCTTCCCCCAAAATATTCTGACTGTTAGGATGGTTTCCCTCTTTTCTTTCTTTCTCTCCTCTTGTCCTTTTGGCTGTTGCACGGATAGTAGTGGTAAGGCATCTCAAGCTATTCTATCCCTCCCACAGGCCCCCTGTGAGTTCTCCTCCCCACTGAAGAGCTCCAGCACACAGCGCTGCGCAGAAGAGGTCAAACATCAGTGGTATAAAACTGACCTTTTTTTGTCAGTTTCACTACTGCAGGCAGGGCTCTGTACAGCAGCAGCAAAACTGAGAAGACTCTGGTCAGTTCTCCCAGGGAAGAAAACACAGCATTGGTTTATGCTGGTCATAGTTGGAAGTTTATATTTGCCCCTATAAGGTGCTAGAAACCTAATTAGTCTGCAAAACTGCTTGCACTTGCCAGAAAAAGATTCCTACTTGCCCCAGAGGAGTGGGCTTTCTAGTCTTTTTTGACAGATGTTGGCTGAGAGATCTGAAATATCCTCACCTGCATAAATGATGCTATGTCACATGCCCTTACAGAAGTAGCACAGGCTCCGAATATGAAGTCTGTTCTGTCTTCAGAAATAAGATTAAGGAAATGAGGAACCTTTCCTAGTTTGCAATCCATTTCCAGTGGAAGATTTCATTGAAAGTGTTTGATATTCTGGACGTACTAAATATATCTGGCATTACATGAGGACAGACTGGGCATACAAGTCTGATAGCTCATAAATAGGATTGATATTCAGAATGAAAAGATTCAGTTAGAATTTTCTATTAGGGCTGTCAAGCAATTAAAAAATTGCAATTAAACAATAGAACAACATTATTTAAATATTTTTGGATGTTTTCTACATTCAGATATTGATTTTAATTACAACAACATCAAATACAAAGTGTACAGTGCTCATTTTATATTTATTTTTATTACACATATTTGCACTGTAAAAAACAAAATAGTATTTTTCAATTCACTTAATACAAGTGCTGTAGTGCAATCTCTTGATCATGAAAGTTGAACTTACAAATGTAGAATTATGTACAAAAAAACCTGCATTCAAAAATAAAACTATGTAAAACGTTAGAGCCCACAAGTTCATTCAGTCCTACTTCTTGTTCAGCCAATCGTGAAGAGAAACAAGTCTGTTTACATTTACAGGAGATAATGCTGACTACTACTTAATTATATCACATGAAAGTGAGAACAGGCATTCGCATGGCACTGTTGTAGTTGGCGACACAAGGTATTTACGTGCCAGATGCACTAAAGATGCATACGCCTCTTCATGCTTTGGCCACCATTCCAGAGGACATGCTTCCATGCTGATGACTTGCATTAAAAAAAAAAAAAAAGCATTAATTTTGTGACTGAACTCCTTGGAGAGAATTGTGTGTTTCCTGCTCTGTTTTACCAGCATTCTGTCATATATTTCACATTATAACAGTCTCAGATGATGACTCAATACATGTTGTTAATTTTAAGAACACTTTCACTGCAAATTTGACAAAATGCAAAGAAGATGCTAATCTGAAATTTCTAAAGAAAGCTACAGCACTTGACCCAAGACTTAAGAATGTGAAGTGCCTTCCAAAATCTGAGTGGGATGAGGTGTGGAGCATGCATTCAGAAGTGCTAAAAGAGCAAACACTCCAATGCAGAAACCACAGAACCCAAACCACCAAAAGAGAAAATCCAACCTTCTGCTGGTAGCATCTGACTCAGATAATGAAAATGAACATGTGTCGGTCCATACTACTTTGGATTGTTATCAAGCGGAACCAGTCATCAATGTGGATGCATGTCCTCTGGAATGGTGGTTGAAGCATTGTAACATTTCAGGTGACATTGTAGACAAGTAAGCAGCATTATCTTCTGCAAATGTAAACAAACTTGTTTGTCTGAGAGAGACTGGCTAAACAAGAAGTAGGACTGCATGGACTTTTAGGCTCTAAAGTTTTACACCGTTTTGTTGTGTGCAGGTATATAACAAAAAAACTACATTCGTAAGTTTCACTTTCATGATAAAGCAATTGCACTACAGTACTTGTATGAGGTGAATTGAAAAATACTATTTCTTTGTCTTTCACAGTGCAAAGATTTGTAATCAAAATATAAAGAGAGCACTGTACACTTTGTATTCTGTGTTGTAATTGAAATTGATATATTTGAAAGTGTAGAAAAACATCCAAAAATATTTAATAAATTTCAGCTGGTATTCTATTGTTTAACATCACAATTAATTTTTTTTAAATTAATCCCATGAGTTAACTGCGATTAGTCGACAGCCCGAGTTTCTATCACTTATTTTCCGAAAAACATGGAAGACCAACTGGAGAATAAACCAAATAGCACCAGTTGCTTTGCACTATAAAAGTGTCCTATAATACTGACTAATACCTTAATTTGCTTTTCTTTCTTTTTGTGTACATCTTCCCATTCATTTACAATTCTTCCCCAAAGAATCCAGGAGTCTTCTTCGAGATGGCTGAGGTTGCTAGAAGCTGATGAACTGGATACAAGGGAGGAGCCACTGTTTCTTCTTGACCCATTTACTGAACGCAAGGATTTGCTGTCTGTCTCCAACAGTCTGCAACATACAAAGCTAGTTACAGTACTAACCATATTAGACTGCATCATTGTTGATCATCAAATTGTTTAGAGGAGATAACTCTTCCACCCCCTCTTCACAGAATGTATCCAACAAATCCATTCATTCAAACTGTTTTACTTAACATGTTTTTGTAATAAAAATTGTAAATGAAGTGACCTAAATACAACCGCTTACAGGCTTGGAGTAGTTAAACTGACAGGAGAGCTCTCTCCTATTGGCTTACAGTGCCTACATTAGGGAGCTTAAGCCGGCGCACCTGTACTAATGCAGCTGGACTACTGTAAACTCTAATGCAGCCGTGCCCTTATTCCTCTGTGCCCCTCCAGACAGAGAGGCTAACTATTGAGCCTGGATTCATCCCCTGCTTCCTGTTGGCTACTGATTTTGTGAAAAGCTCAGGGGTGGCAGGAACTGGGCCTTAAGATCTACCTATCTTCAAGTAAAGAGCCATGTAATAAAAATAAATCCATTTACTTCAGTCTAGGTATTGGGTAGGAAGCAAGAGATCAGACTACACTTTGCAGTCTAGGAGACTGTGTACTATGTTCCATTTTCACTTAGCACTGGAGCTGTATTTGTAGGAAAGGGGGGCTGCTATGAAAGCAAAGACATAAGTCAAGTAAATTCTGATGTCCCTGTGCTAAAAAGTAGAATCCAACCACCATATTGGTGAGGTTGAGCTGTTAATTTTTTTCAGGAAATTATAAACCTCTGCACAGTATTGACCACGTATGTGCATAAATCTCAGGGCACCGACACATTCAGGTTCTCAGCTAGAACAAACATTTAATTCAGATATTTACATGGTCTTTCCCCTTTTCTGCTCCTATCCATTAGTATTTATAAAAAAAATCTTAAGTATTGCGTAAACAAAGCATGTATCAGAATGAGATTTAATCCATAAAAAGCAACATCTTACAAGTGTGATCTTTGTAGTTTTATTATTTTCAGCTTTTGAACAAAAGGCTTAAAGTAGTAGTGTGTCCCTTTAACTGCAATGGTCCCAGAAGTTTAAATCTGAATTTAGCCCCAATTAATGGAAACAGTCTCATTTTCACAAGAAAAACTCAAAGCTGAGATGTACAGAATCACTAGCCAGTTGTATTGTATACACATGAAAATGCATTTTTAAACTTCTACAAACCTAACCTACCATGTTCCACTACTAACTTAAAAACTAGAACTGCTTTTCGCAACATGCACCATGCTAAACACAGTCAGACTCCAAATAACGTCAGAGAAAAGAGCCATATGTACTTTTAAAGCACAGAACATTTTAAGATTGCAAAACCTAAGATTTTGACAATCCATGTTTTATTTTTCCTCAGTTTCTAAGAAATTCTACTACATTTCTATTATAATTTGAAACCTTACCTTACTGAATCCATTGCCCTCAGATTTGTAACATGTAGTTTCTTTATATTGTAAGTAGTCACTAAACACAGAACACAAACTAAGATTCATGTAAAACCCTATCAATGATTTACTATTCACAAACAGATCCTTTGGACTGCACCATTCCAATACATTTTTTGTGAGGCCTTCAATAAAAAGTAGATAGTTTTGCTAACTCAAGAGGTTAAATTTGGTTGCAGGAAGTTTAAGTTTCCTCGTGTCTCACTTCTCCTTTGGGTTCTTTCACTGTAGCCTAAACTGTTCAATTCACCTATATCCTATCTCTTCAGGTGTAGGCCAGTTTCTCTCTCACACAGACAAGGAAATCTGAATTTAAAGATATCACCAGCAGCAATTTGTCTGGTGAGCAGAAACAAGTATGACTTCCTGGGTTCAGAGTTCAATTCTTTACTTCCAAAGAGCAGTTGTAGTTTAAAAAAAAATGTAGCAGATTCAAAATTTTGTGACGATACACAGCAGCTTTCAAGATAGGTGCATCAACTCTCTCCTTGAAAAAGTGTAATCTTGATGTGAAAAAGCAGGCTTGGTGTGAACTGTTTGAAGGAAGATAAGCAATGGGACTCCTTATTGCCTATTGAGCGTGTCACAACCAATAATGGAGATGTAGTGAAATGTATATAAGCTTCACTATAGCTAAAATGAAAACGGACAGTTTTCAAGAGACAAGGAGAAATACTCCAATCCAACCTGTAAAACCAAGATGCAAGGGTGATAAGATTATTCCATTTATGGAAAGTTTTGAAAGTTGTCTGAAAACTGTTTGCTAAATTAATTTATTCAGACTTTAAATGTCCATGTCTTTACACCAAGTGCTGTTTTATGGAATTAACTAAAAACGTGTTCTTAAAATGTCAACTTTACTGTAACAGAGGGTCTGGATCTCTGATCCTAATTCACAGTTTTTGAGAAAAACTGCTTAGAGAAAGGTTTACCAAAAGGCCTGACTAAAACCAGATAATCAGACAACTAAAGGTTTGAGGTGCTACTGATCACCATTTAAAAGTCTTTGTACCCTAGGTCACTGGGGGCTTTTCCAGAAAAGCCCCCAATGAGCAGAAAAGGATAAAACTAGACTGTTTAGGAGTCAAAGGTCTGCATCCTTTCATATAGGTTTAAAAGCCAGCATTAGTATATCACAAACCAAGGAACAGGTTAGGTGAAAGCATCAGGACTTGAGACTCCCTCTTTAAACGATATCCCTGAATCTCATGGACTCCAGCATCAGCTGTCAGTACAGTTCTAGAAACAATGTTTAATGATTTCTATAAAGCTAGAAAAGGTAACAAATAATGTTTTGGAGGTTCTGAAAGAGCAGATGCTTTTCTAAATCTCAGATTAAGAATATTTAAAATGCACATTCTTTTCCATGCAGCTAGCAGTTTTAAACTGAGTAAAATTTTGGGTTCAGGAAAAACATTACCCCTTTTAATAGGTTCTCTGCTATAATTTTGATAAGTCTATTTTAGTTCTCATTTTACAATTTTAAGAGCAAAATATGAAAACCATGTTTCCCCACTCACCTGTTCTGTTCCTCTAGTTTAGCTAATAATTCTAAATCATCTGGACTCAACCGCGTTGGTGAGGATGGTGATAGTGCTGGAGTAGAAAGAGTGGTAGAAGAGGATGTAGTGTGTAATGAGGCAGATGGACTTGCCACCTGACTGGCCATTTGACTGACAGTATGCGATACAGTGTTCTTCACCCATGAGAGAGTAGAACTCAGCTTTCCTGCAACCTTGTCTGTCGCCACCTGCAAATTACAAAAGGAAAAGGGATGGTAGAGGTTATTTTTGTAGACTGATCAGCAGGCCCACTCAAGCCAATGGAAAAAGGTATTTAGTGGGACAGCTATATTCTACAAATAAACTGATGCGTTTGTCATGTATTTTGCACCTTCTAAAGAGCGTGACTTAAGGTTATCCTGTTTCCCAGAATTCCCGAAGTTGTTGGAAGCAGCCCAAGAGAAAGGCATGGGATTAAGGTGCTATGTGAGAACAAATATAGAAAGTATGTGACAGATTCACCAAAAGGATATCAAGGAAACTACCCAAAGATACCCACAGGACTAGTCTTTTCTGTGTAGTGCCTCTGGATCCAGAGCCGCCTTGTACCTCTGACACATTAGTGAGATCCTCTTAATATCTCTTGATAAAAATAGTAGTGCAAAAAATCAAGTAAAGCAGGTAAAATGCCATTGACTTTACCTGTGGACTGACATGCACAGGAAGGAATTTATGAGTAAGTACCACAGGTGTTAATTTTTCTCTTGCTCTCTCCAATCTCAAAGAGGGACTGGGCTGGAAGTTTGGCTAAAAGTCAACAAGAACCACAGCTAAAAACCAAAGATAAATGATTCTGAGATCTCTAACAGTGGGGAATGAAGTAGTCATTTTTAAATGAATCTAGATACTAGAATACAACACAAGTCTATTCCCACAAGTGGGTTAGGGAAGGACTACTTGGGAAAACCCTGAGCTATACTTCTCAGTAAAAGGCAAAAGGAGACTGATCAAAAAAAAAAAAAATTATTTAAGGCCTAATCCAAGAACTTCCACTGAAGGAATGCAAAAGGCTTAGGTTATTTTCCTCAGTGGCCCACTTCCTCAGCCACAGAATATCTAGACTACTGGCAAGCCTAACCCTTATCCAAGTTGTCCACCAGAAGAAAACTTTGGCCACAGCTGAAAATGCAGAAGAAAGATGGCTGGCACAAGTCAAGGAGAATAGTAGACTGAAGAAGAAATTTTCCTTGAAGTCACACTGCCGAAAACTACCTATCTGAGGTATGTAGAATTCCTCACACTGACAGGTTGACATGAAAAAATCCTATGAAATACAGCTTACCCAATAATACCAGCTTCTAGCAAATACATCAAACAATTAGAACCACAAGGAAAGTGTTCCATCCCCCTCTCTGAGATCTTCCATTCAAGTTTAATTTAAACAGACAACTTCCATTTCATCTGTTGGATGACAAACAGCCACATGTTTTAAGGCAGGTTTCAGATTTTCAGGTTTAGCAGTAGCTGATAGGCAGCCCTTCCTCAGGGGCTGGGGAGGGTGAACTGGAAAACTGTACAATTTCATAAACCATGTTTCTTTTGCCAAGTACCACATTTCAAACCAATATAGACAATGAGTTGTGCAAAGGGGAGGTTTCTTACAATTTGAAAAAAGCCTGATCAAAAGCAAAGATAGCTTAATTCACTTTGGAAGCAAAACCAAATTAAGGCTACTTTAATTCTGAATGACAGCATCCACACAGGGATTTAATGAAGTTTAACTAATCCACTTGAATTCACGTCTTTAGTTAATTCAGATAAATTTTCCGGAGTGTCTCCATGTAGACAAGCCCTCTTGTCTACATAGGCATTGTAATTCTGTGCATTCGTGCGCTCAAAGTCACATCCTTTGCAATTTAACTGTTGTACATGGTTTAGCATGTTCGGTCTTTAATAAAACGAAGTTAAGTAACATACTGTACCTTGTATTTGTTCTACCATCTTTCCCCCTCTTCACTGTAATAGATCATTGTGTCTTTGCCCAGACAGTTGTCAGTGTTTCTTCTTTTCCTTCTCTTCCCTACTTCCTTATATTTCTCATCTACATGGTGTTCCACGACTCCCAAAAGATCTCATTTGCCCCACACTTCCGTTTGCTCACTTTTCCTATCAGTCTTTCCTTCATTCCCTGAACCACTTCAATACTGTACTAGACATCCAGAATCCATAGGACTAAACCTATTAAGTAAAGAGTGATCCAGAAGATTGGGTCCTCCAATGTTAGGAGCAACATCTGGTGAAAAAGAAACCTCTGCTCAAGTTATGGGAAAGGTGAGGGGTAAAAATTCTTACAAGGGAATCCCCATCTCCCCCACCTCCCAGTGTAGCGCTGTAGGGAGCCAGGGTGGCTCCCCTCCGAACCAGAGGGTAAAGAGCCACCCTTTCAGCCTGAGTGGGTGGGGCCAGACCAAGCTTCCACCAATCCCTGGAAGGGAAAGGGTGGGACAGGAAGTACAAAGGGCGGGGCCCTCTGCCCAGTGAAGAGAGCACCAGGGAGGGAGACAGACACAGGCTGCTGGCTGTTCCCTCGCGATCCTGCTGCTGACCCAGGCGAAGCCCTAGGCAAGGAGGAGCCTGACCGGGAGGACGGCCTGTGGCAACCAGGGCTGCCAGCCGCCAAATACCCAGAGGACCTGGAGGGGCCTGACTGCAGCCCAGGCCAGCGTGAGTCTGATACCGAGGGGGAGCGAGAGCTGCCCGCAGCGGAATGCCCGGACGAGAGGGAGGGACCGGAGCGGCCCGCCTGAGAGACTGGGTAGGAAGTAGCCCAGGGGCCGAACTACACCATGGGGTGGGTGTTTGGTCAGCAGGTGCGGACGGCCCTGCTGACCCAGCGGCGGGACTTTTGCCTCTCGCCACTGTCAGGGCCCTGGGCGCGCGCACGCTACCGACTCCGGCCAGCGCACCTTCCCCGCTAATTCCCCAACGCCCGGAAGTTGTGGCTGAGGCCTGCCATGGGGACCATAGCTCTCCATCGCCCCTATGGGCTCGGAGGACCGACTGACACCTGTCACAAGCGCCTTCTGGCAGCTCTGCTACACAACACCATACCCAAGGTCTTTTGATTCCTGGGCTCATTTTTGCTGCAGCCTGGGGAAAAAAACGGAGTGAAACGGACTTGGTTGTTAGTCTCGATGGATTACTGCCCATAAGGTCCTAGCAGCAGCTGTGAAAATCGACAAGACTGGTAAATTCTCACTTTGTTGCAGCTTGGGGAAAGCTGGGCAGCAAAGGCACTAGCAGTTTGTCTTCAGGCTCTGGAAGGCAACACTGCATTGACTACACTCTTATAATTGAGCCATAAGGGATATAAATGTAATTTAATGAAAACTTCTATAATGCTGATGGAACTTGACTGGGAAAGATTTTACTTGCCCTTTTCTTAGGTATAAAGACTGGTTAGAGAGGACTTGGTAAGGGAAGCCTAATAACACCTATGCTTGAAGCGTGGAGATATCCTTTACCAGAGAAGCATGAATCTCCATCAAAAGAGGATTAGAAGAAAGTCCTTCAATCTCATCTTTGGATACTGAGGCAAGCAGGGAGACAGACCAGTACTGCAGTCACATTGACTAGTAAGTTCACCAGGAGTTTTTGTATGCAAGACTCTTCCTCCCTGCTGATGCTCCAAATCCAGGTCATTTCAGGAGACAATGAGGGTAATAAAGATTAAATGGGGATGTTGCAGTCTCATTGCAGTGAGTGAGCTACAAGAGTAAGCAAGTGTGCCAAATGCTTGTCTCAGCTGGTAACTTTTGCCTATAAATTTAAATTACAACCATTCCAAGTTGGTAGAGCTCCATGTCAGAACTTTAAATTTAATGTTATTTTTCTACATTTATCTCCCATCTGTAAGACTCAAGATTTCTAAAATTATTGGTCAGAAGTTTGACCCTATAATTCTTTATCAAAAAGCAAATTAACAAAGGGAAGGATCAACTTGTAGTTAAGAACAGGAAGACCAGAGTGGGTTCTATACTTGAAGTGTGACCATGGGCAAGTTATTTAACCTCGGAGTTTCAATTTCCCCGTTTTTACAGACATGCATGTACTCTGGAATATCAAATTGGAGGCTTTATATAGCTGCAAAGCATATTTGCAGTTATGCAATAAATCTAAACAAGTTAAGCATCTGAATTTTCACATAGCAGAACACACATACAGCCAGTCTTACAGTGTTTCTCAAATGTGGCCACAAAGGGCTTTTCTTGCAGCCACAGCCTCCTGGGCTGTGATTGGAGTGGGGACGGGGGGGCGCGGAAAGAGAAGCAGTGGCCCCTCTACCCCAGTGGCCACCAATGGGGGTTGGGCCCTGCCCCCCTCTGGGGGCACAAATGCTGGAGGTGTAGGCAGCTGGTGAATTCTCTAATTTCCGGGGGCGGGGCAGGCAGCTTCAGCCACAGGGCTTCGGGCTCCATCCACACAGTAGCAGGCTCTTGTCCCAGGCTCATCGCCCACACCATTGTCCCTGGGCCCTGTGACCTCCCTGCCCACCTCCCCAGGGCTTAATTTGTCCCAGGGCTTGCTGGGGTTGAGTAAGTCTGCTGCTGTGAAACAGCAGCAGACTTACTCTCTAGCAAGGTTTTTTTTTAAAAAGCAACCAAAAAAGCAGACCACCACCACCCAAAGACAAGAACATGCAAAGCACTTATTTGTGTTTCTATTCTGTTTAGGTCCTGTCAAGTTTATTACTGAGTCTGAAAAAACCCTACATAAATAAATTACAATGATTTGGACATGTATACACATTTACTTGTTTTTCCTAAAGTTAATTAAGTGTTTTAGCAAAAATGGTCAGCATGGCCACCAAAGAGTTGGTGGCCACACTCTGAGGCCACCAAAAAATTTGTTGAGAACCCTAGAACACCAGTATAATCTTCGTATTTAGAGTAATTTTAAACATTTATGCCAAGTTTGGTATCTGTAAACATACCTCAAACCAATTTATTTAAATCAGAAAAGTCTATTACAGCCATGAAAAAAATTTAGTTTAAAAAAAAAAAGCAGCGTAGTTACACTATGGAGTCCACCCACAAAAGCAAAGCTGGCCACATTTCAGTGCGGCTCTAGGCACTCAAAGTTACCCCTAAAGAAAAAATGATTCAAGCTTTAATATTGCTGTCCTAGTTAGGACAATGTTAGATCATTACAAATTTCTAAGATTAACAGAGCCAAAACATCTTATGCT